AGACAGGCACAACTGGGGAAGGGTTCCCGGCCACATATCACCTTCAAACTGATATCAAATAAGCTGCCAGGAATGTGTTATTTGTGACTGCTTTGAATTGCGAGAATCAAATCTAAAGAATTGTTCAGAATCTTTTTAAATAATATGATTATTTGCCTCATCTGTAAAGCAAAAAGCATTTTTCTTGTGCACGACATACTCCAGCAAAGTGTGAGGCTATAACTTCTACCTTAATCATCTGATTTTGACTGCTTTCATTTTGAATTTAGGATATGACTTTTATTTTTAAAGCCATGTATTATGACAGGTGCTCATAGATAATGCTATTTTGACTGGCTTTAAAGGTTATTTTACAGATAAAGAGGTATCACTGCACAGATTTCTTAAACTTTTGTAAGAAGCTACAAGAGACACATCTGAAAGTCACCTAATGAATGTCACACCAGCTCCTTTGAAAATGAATCAAAAAAAGAAAGTTGTGAGTGCTGCTGGTATTTTAAGAAATAGAGGCACAAATTTAAGGATGCGTGTTGACTGTGTTGACATAAATCCCACTGGGGTGTAAAAGATTCTCCCTTATTTCAAACTTTTATTCCAAAAAGTTAGTTCTTGTTGAGAATTGAAAAAAACTAAATCTCTTATATGACAAAATATGGCCATAAAGGTGGCAGCATATTATGTTACAGACAATAAACAACCACAGTACAATACATACTGTGTACAGTATACAGGAATAAAAAAAATTAATCTCAATATGTTTGTAAAAAAAAAACGTTAACAGAGAAAAGAGTGCAAGGATGGAAATAATATGGAAGTCACACATCAACTTATTCAGTTTAAGTCCCGGTGGATTTGTTTGGGGGTTTTTTTATGCAGCCTCTGTAGCATTGGAGAGAAAATCCATGAGTTCCTGATCTATCCAAAGCTTTCTTGTCCGAGTCTACTTAAGAACAGTCAGAGAATCTTTGGACCTTTAACTTCAATAAGATTTGTATTTCTGTATAATATGAATATATAAATATAAGATAGGGGGAATGGTTCAACAAGCAAGACTTGGGGATGAGACTACTGTTGGATTTTCTGGGTTTAACTTGCAATAATATGTCAAATCTACTCCTCTGTGTAAAGTTAATTTTCAATCCAAGTTAAATCAGTCACTGAACATCTTCAACACTATACAAATTTCAATCCATTCACATAAAGAGATTAAAAATATATTTGTTGGTTTCTTCCTAGAGTTGGCATACATCATTAACAAGCATTTGTCTGCATTAAATAGACTTCAGTTGACAAAACTGAGCAAAATTAAAAGCCTAAAATTATTAAAAACTTAAGGGCTGCAACTAACAGTTATTCTCATTATTGATTCATCTGCCGATGATTCTTCTTAATCAGTCATTTGTATTTAGTCTAAAGATTGTCAGAGAATAATAAAAAAGCCCATCAAGATTTCCAAAAGCTCAAGGTGAAGTTTTTAAATGGAATAATCACATAAGACAAAGAAACACTGCAAATCACAACTGAGATGCTGGAACCAAAGAATGTTTTTTGGTAATTTTTTTCACAACCATTCACTGAGCCTTCCTTGAAACTGTGTAGAGCCCCCCCACCACCACTACCACCAGGAGACACTTGCCTCCCACTTTGAAAACCTCTGGTTTAAACAGTATGTTGAGTAATTCATCTGGTCTGAATGTTCTGCAATAATACTGAATAATGGTGGTTTAAGGTCACTGTAGCACTGTACCTGAGGTATTTTGTAAACTGTAATGTGGGACCACTGCCTATAATACTGTTGTCAGCTGCATCACAAGCTCCTGAAGGGTTTGTAAAAGGAGCTGCAAAATTACACACTGTGCAATGCTGGTTACGAAGCCCCTTGAACAAAATGTGTTATGCGATGAGCTTTCTGTGAATCTAAAAAAGCAGTTTCATTCATCAGCCAAGGCATATTAATCTATCCTCTACAAATGGATGATGTCATTGATTTAGAGGAGGGGCTCTCTAAAATATCCAATACATATCATTGCCATTATTATCATTATATGAATCTTCAAAGCGCTGTTAACATTAAAAAAAAAAGTTTGCAAAGCATAAATTGCCATGGACCACATTATAGCTCAGTGTAGAAACTTGTCACTACCAAACAATTACAATGCATAATTGCATTAAGTAAATGTTCAACAAACTGCTTAGAATCCAGCTGTTTTCAACTAACTAACTGTGGCATTCATACAAGTCTGATGCCTCAGACAGGATGATTTGCAGTCGCTGTATTTGTGTTATTATAAAATGTCTTGTCATTGCCACGGTAAAATGTCTGACTCTACTCAAGAGATAAAAGAGAGGCAATCAGGGTGAGTACAGAAGGAAATTATTCATATAAAGAGGACAACTGATGAAGTGGTAATAACGGTAAACATTCTGTTCTGTTAGTGGCTACCATTTGCTTCAAGGCACTGAGTCTCCAATGTTTCCCATCATTACTATAAGCGGAGTTCCCTCCACAGGAGCACTCAGTTTAGAGAGACAAACAAAAGCATGATGTAAATACTCTCAACAGTGAAGAAGCTCCTCTTCGATTCTCTCTCCCCTTTCTCACCATGATTAGCATTTCAAACAGTCCTTGTTTTGCATCAGAGATCCATGCTTGTGTGCATGGCCTCACAGCCTTGCAGGTGGTGGCCTGTCCAACCAGTCGAAAAAAAAACAGCCTGTGTGTGTTTGTGTGTGTGCTGGCGTGATTGTGAGTGCCTCTTCATGGTAAGGAGTAGTCCAAAGGGATCTGACCTCTTTACAAAGCTCAGAGTAACTCAACGGGACAGCATTGTCTACAAATGCTACTTAATCATAAATTTCTCAGTATTTGTGGTTTTCTGCTTTGATCGGCAGAGAGAGTCACAAGCCACTGACAGGATTCACATTCTGCCTCCTGAAAATCCACAGAATCTCCTTTTAAGTGTCTGCCAGCAGGCCCATCTAAACTTTGATTGAGTGCATCACAATGTGCTCAGCATATCAAGCAATGATAGGGACTTTTGCAGTAGCTGTTTGGAGTTGGAAAAAGGTGCTGCGTCATTTTATCTTAAGTCAATTGCTAATAGATTGTCCACTTCATGGAATTAACCCCAACCAAAATCCTGCTCAACCCAAAAGAAATTAAAATAATGAGTTCCTGCAGTTTAAAGCTCAGCCAGGAGATATCTAATTAAATCTATATTGTTCTTTGCTCTATCTGACGGGGCGTTCACTGTCCTCAGAGTCCAGTGTTAGTTAAGGTGACTGCTGCAGGCCGGGAGGGGCTCATGCTGATTAGATGGAGCTTCTGTCTTGCTACCGCGCCACCTGAAAACAAGAACATGTAGAGTTACACAATTTTTTGAATATATTTTACAAAAGATGCTGAGGGATATGATAAAATGTTATTGTATTTTGTTCTATTTTCAGTCAACCACTTGCTACACCCAGTAGGCAAGAGATACTCAAAAGTTTGAAGGCTGGTATCTTTTTTAAGCTTCCATAAAACAAAAATCAAGAGCAAAAGTGGATTGTGGTGTTTATCTGCTTTAACGTAAGATGTGATTGTTAGCATTCCCGGCTTACTGCCTACTGTAGTAACTGAGTGATATTTCAAAAAGCAAAAGCGCAATTATTTTGTGGGGTTTAAAGTTACATTACAAAAATATCTGATCAGGACTGGAACATCTGGTGTGTGAACCAAGATGCTATCATTTGATTTGGGGAAAGTTTACTCTCCGGCCAACATTTACGTTCGGCATACTTATTGGTTATTCCTTATCCTCATATCCTTTTTCTTGTAAAAGTGAAGTATACAGAAAACAACTAGTGACAGTTGATTCCCTGCTTTTGTTTACCTGTGTGTGTAATAAAAGACAATTTTTTTTTTTAAAATAACTAAAAATTTCAAGAGGTAAATCTGCCTTGGTTATCACTGTAATCTGTATATGTACAATGCGGGCGAAAAGGTCAACTATATTTTTTTCCAGTGTTGGAAAGTACATTTCCTTAAGCAGGCTTGTGTAGGATAATTAAGTACAATTTTGGGGCACTTAAACTTTACTTAATTTCCATTTTGTATTTCCATTTCACACTACGTATACTACGGCAAATATTTTTTTCACCCCATTACATTCATTTGATGATAATAATGCAACAAACTACCCTGCAGTATATAAATTAATTAAAATGATCTCAACCTTTATCAGCTGCAAACATTAAAGGGATCTACATTAATGCATCAATAATTACTCTCGAATCATTCTGCATAATAAGTGCTTTTACTCTGGGTACTTGCTTATATTTTTAGTAAGTAAAATTCTGAATGCAGGACGCATAGGTTTTTCTACACTGTGGTATTTCTACTTTGGTAAAAGATCTGAGTATTTCTTCCACCATTGCTCTCTTTTGTTTCATCCTATTGTTTAATAATAATGTAGTATGATGGACCACATGACAACTGGGTATCTTTTGATCACTGGCTGTGTGCTGGCAGTGCTAACTTTCCCCTGTTTCTATAAAATGTTTCCCCCATGAATCATACATAAAATAGTTCAACAAAAAGGCAATTTCTAAATGCAGTGGGGTTTCCTTTGGCCGTCAGATTTAATTACATGGGTTTTAGTGTTCAGTATTGGTTTACAGCTTATTTCATGTTTGTCCTCTTGGCCCCATCATTCACCAGATTATAGAATTAAGTTTTCTGAGCCCACTGTGCCTGGTTGAGAGCGAGAGGGTTGATATGACCAATGGGAGCTGTGATTATGCTTGATTGTGGAATCCTTCGGCATCAAAGGGGAGCTTACTAAAATAAAGCTTTATGATGAGTATTCACAAGTCTGTCTGCCCCTGTTTTGCATAAGAATAATGCAATAAAAAAGGAGAGTTACCGTACGACTGCATTTAAGCATCTATAAATACCATGTCTTAAACTCAAGCCATTTTGTGTCATGTCTTTTTTAAAGTGTTGGTGCCGCTGTGACTCAGACTAATGCAGGCCCTCTCCTCACCTTTGTAGTCTTTACTTTGTTCCCAGAGATACATGACCAGCCAGTGAGGTCAGGGAGAACTCTGCACTCCTCCCCCTCAAGACACGGCTCCATTTTACACCACCACTTGTGACGCACAATAGAGGCTGGAGAAAAACACACCACAGCGGAAGGTCACTTTTTAGATGGAAGGACTTCAAAAAAGGCTTGTATGGAATAAAATGTTTCAATCAGATGTCACACTCTCTGGTCCTTAACAGCCTCAGTATCAGTGGGCTCTGGTAAACCTGACTCTGCTTTGGCAAATCATATATTCATGTCATGACAGAAATTTCTGGTCAAGAGAGGTAAAAGAGGGTTCCAGTAATATTACCCTCAACACAAGAGGGCAGAGCCCTTGTTGTCCCTGCCACCTGTCCTGGGAAGCAGGAGCACTTGACTGTTTGAGAGCGTTCTTCAATCTTGTTCCTATTGCAGCAACGATGAGCAGCGACCACTTCACAAGTCCCTGTCCTCTCCTGTTTTGACCCTGAGGAAGAGAATTTTGAGGAAAAGGTGACAATTTTTATACTATGTTTTGCATGTAAGTAGAGGCAGCTTGAGTGACTTAAGCCTCTCCAGAAGGCAGTATTATAGTCAAACTACAGTGATTTCTTGGCTTTATTAGATGTTACATTGAAATAAATACAGTAGTCTTTCTGTTACATGCATGTAGATGACCAAGGAAGCAGTCCTAATTTTTTATGTTTCTAAAGCTACAGCACCACCAAGTGGATAAAAAACATCATGAACAGAATAAACATTAGAGGAGAATCATCTGCCCCACATCTGTTTCTGCATCATTTCCCGGAAACATAAATAAAAGAGATTGAATGTTGTTTTTGGTGGTTATTAAACTACTGATGATTCATGCTGATACGCTTAAAGGAACAATGTGTAGGATTCAGTGGCTTAGATGCCACTGTTGTTTCAGCTTACAACCCACTCGCCTAACTCTACCATTCCAAGCTTGTAGGAGAAACTATGGTGGCTGCCAAACTCTCCAGAAATACAAAAAGGCCCTATCTAGAGCCAGTGTTTGTTCGAGCCATTGTACAAATATGGCGGTTTAACATGCCGGCTTCTGTAGAAGAGGACTCGCTCCCTCTGTAGATAAAAACTCATTCTAAGATAACAAAAATATAACAATCCTTACTTTCAGGTGATTGTAAACTAATAAAAACATACCTGTGAATATTATTTTCCATTTTCCTCCTAAATGTTACACGTTGGATCTTTAAAGTGGAGTTTAAAATCAGACTAGAATCAAAGCAGAGCTCAAAAAATGAAACAAGACACATCTAGTTTTCTAGTTATCCATGTATGGTTGTGGCACTGGTGGTAAGTAACTAAAGAGTACATTTACTCAAGTGCAAACTCACTCATAGGTACAAACTACTTTACTTTACTAATACATTGGGAAAAGTATATAAATTAGTTCAAATGCTGCTAATGCATTATGTTTTATATAACAATACATAATAATTCAGTCACCAGGGACATTTTTCTGCAGAACCAGTACTAGTTACATTTGATACTTTAAGTCAATGTTGCTGATGATTTTAAATAAACTTGTAATGGAGTACTTTTGCATTGTTTTATTGGTACTTTTATTCACGTACTCCACCACTGCAACATGTAACATTGTGCTGGATATAATTACATTCAGCTAATTAAGTGGCAACAGTCAAAGTGCATGGCCAATAAAATCCTTTTTACAGTATGTTAAGGGATTTCTAAGGGGAAGCACCTGGGTTTCAGGTTCTTGTTGCTTTAACTGAACTCTCAACCAGGCGACCAGGTTGGTGACCAGGAGCCATAATGAGTCCCTCAGGGGGTGTCACTGGTCTGGTTGGGTCTGACACATACCTGTCTGTCCTCGGGAGCTTTGGTTGCCAGCGGACACTAGCTGGCTGCAGAAGCCTACAATACAAAGAAGCAGGAGGCCCCAGTGTAATATGCTCAGCTTCATCTTGCCTGCACAGAAAAATAGGTTCATTAGCATTATGCCAATAGTTCTCCCTATTAAGTGCGTGATCATAATGCTAAATAATATGGCTTATTAAATGCTTCTGATGTCTCCTGACTACTAATATGTGGTTCATAAGATCATTGTATCTATTTGCTCAATTATGACTCTCTCATCACCAAGCCAAGCCAAAGCAAATAAAAGAAATTCCAATAAAAGTGCAATAAGAGGCAGCTTTGGAAGCAGATGAGAGTGGGTCCTTACACTCATTTCTGACTCATATTATCCCCTCAGCTGTAAACATCTCTGCATTCAAAGCTAAACTCTCCCTCCAAAACAAGTTGTATTCCACATGAGTCACAGAAAAACTGGGACGTGGACTTTCATGTCAGACTACAGCAATAACTAATTCAGGACAAGAAGTAAAACATCACTGCTTAGTTTGCTGAAGGCGTTTTCATTCAACACTTAACCCCATATAACTTTCAGGCCTGCAACTAACATTGTTTTAATTAGATTATTTTCTCGATTTATCGCTTATTCAATACGATAAATGTCCTTCACAATTTCCCAGAGCCCAATCTTCAAATTGCTTTGTTCTGAGTCCAGAAGTTAAAGATATTAAACTTGCTATAATGTCAAATAGAGAAAAAGCAGACATTCCCAACATTTAAGAGGCTGTTGCAATGCATTATTTAAACTCTAACAAAGTTGTACACATTCAGTGATAGTGGCATTATCCATCCACATGACTTTTGTTTTGTCATTTGTGCAAAAACACGATGCCAGTACAAACTTCCACTGTATCGCATACACACTTATACATACTGTGTTGTACAATATCATCGTCAATTAAAGTCAGTCTGCCTGCCTTATTATATTTTAACATTTAATTATAAGAATAAGAATAAAGAAGAGAATGCACCAAAATAAATTCATATTTAAGTCTGTTCAACAGTGAGTTAAACCAACACTGAAAACCGACTTTTGATAGTGATTGAAATGGATATTTAAAATATTCAACCACCTACCTGTGTTCAGGTTATTGATATACACGATAAACCCCTGCTGACGCCTCCCTCATTGTTTGGCTGCACATCATGCATACCATATAACGATCGTCTCAGCGAGGATGCAAAAGTTTGCAGCAGATATGATCCTCAAGTTTCTTTGAAGTTTTTCTGCCTCATTTCATCGAGAAAATAAAAAAAAATGCTGCTAAATAACGCCCCAGCTGATAGAGATAACAGCTCAATGGAAACCTGCGCTTTCACACATCAGCTCCACTCCCTGGAGTTAGTGTACCTCTCAGGCAGGATGTGATGTGAGAGATGTGCTCGTCTGTGAACTCGGTTGGATCACTCCGATGAGCAAAGCCTGTCAGCTTTTCCTGTCGGGAAAATTAAAACTTAATCAAGACAGAAACCATCTGTCTGCCGGACAATATGCGGCCACTTTCATTAGCGCCATAAGAAGCTTAAAGTGAGTATTGACATCCTGTCGTACAGGGCACAGAGGATATAAACTGCATCTGAAGACCAAGTCGTTTGTTCTCTTTTTGAACGATATATGTTATTTTTGTGTTTTCTTTGAGCCCATATTTGAAAACAGACATTTTATGTTTCCTCATAGGGTCCCAAAATGAAAAGATTTGCAATCTACTGATTAATCATATCACACCACTCAAATTAAATATATATATATTTAATTAGTTCTCACCACAAAAGTAACACAACTGCTTCGTGATTCATCTAGAAATAGATATAAAGGGCTGGGCTGCCTGTAACCTCATTAAACTGCAGATTTGCATGGATCCTTTCATATAACTCTAATAAGAAAGCAAAGTGAGTATGCATATTCCCCAAAACACTGAAATTATTCTTTTAAGTCATATACTGTCATATAAAACCATCACTTCAACAAATCACCCATCCATGTGTTATTTTAATCTCAATAACAGATTTCCTCTCAAGTTTCCTATTTTGGTGTGTTGTGTCCAGTTCCTTTTTACACACTTAAAGGCCTAAAAAGATAAACAGTGAAGTCGCCAATTTTAAGTGAAGAAAGATAACAAAGAGGCTACCTCTACAACCATGATAATAAAACTTTATTAGAGCACAGTGCACATCATTATTCTCATTTGATTGACAGAGAAATAGCTACACTATAAGTAAACACAGGACAAATACACAAAGAAGTAAACAACGTTACTAATAGAAAAAACAATGCTGTTAAATGACTCCATATTCATATGATAACCAATCCTGTTGCACAAGGGAGACTCATCTTATTTACATTATCATATCAAATGTGCTACTGCAACATCACAGTAACCTTGTGATGCAAGTTTGCATTCAGATGCAGTCAATCTGACATCAGTGCCGCACGTCGTAATGTTCAGGCGGTGAAATTGAGCTTGAAGAGAACCGTCTGGGGGGTGGTGACGTCGGCCACAGCTAGTTCCTGTCCATCTGACAAGCCCAGCTCTGCAGCAGAACAAAAAAACATATTCCAAGTATGTTATCACGAATATCAGCAGCTATGGGTCACTTTGGACTAACTGGGAATGGTCAGAGTACTGGTTCTTATTACCTTTCAAAGTCTTGCAGAGGTTTGGCCTGGTTCGTTCCTCGATGGATTTAACCGACTGGAATAAAAGTGCAATCATAGTTTAAAGAGTGGTTTATAATGAAATGCGGGTTCTCATAGAATAAATACTCTACCTGCAAATACAGTGTCTTATTCTTCCCTTCCAGAGTTGTGGTGATGGCCGGGGATTTCATTTGTCTGGAAAACATTTTGTGCACAATTTTAACAAAATTATTTTAAGTTTTCCTAAAGAGGCCAATTATTTTTCTTCTGAATACTCACAGAGAAGCGTTCTCTGTTAGGTACTCTAACACCTCCTGTAATTTGGCAGAAGGAGGGAACTGGAGATCCTGAGGAACTTGGCTGCAGGCTGAACAATTTTCCTGCCAATCAAAGATGATAAAGAGTGAGCTTGTTATTCTCTGTGCGGCAAAATGTACATGAGGGTGAAGCGATTACTGACAATTCGGGGACAACAAACCTTTCGTTCAGCTTCAAAAGTGTAGGTGTATAGTCCATCCACGTCATTAAAGACCAGGTAATTATTTAAAGGAATATATGCACTGAAAAAGATAATCTGAAGTTCAGTAATGTTCATTTGACAAATTAGCAGATAATTGGGGTGAGACATTAAGATTTGTTCTGCTCCTAACCTTGTCGCAATTTTAAAAACTTCTGTGGCACAGGCAGCTATGGAAAACAAAAACAAAATTAAGTCCAGCAGTGTGAATTGTACAATTGTTTGAGAACAATAAATCACTGACTGACTGGTCGCTTAACGCTTCCTTCAAGCAGCATTTTTTGTCCCCTTAAAGGCTCCATAGATCATCAGAATGTGAGGATGCATCATTTTTCCCCGGGTCTTGGCTTGAAATAAGAACTCTGCTTTTGTTTACATCTGTAAGACCCACAGTTTAAAGTACTTTCAAGTGGTAAATCTGCCCTTTATCACTGTAAACTGGATATGTCCCTTGTAAGTTAGCTCGACAGGCGTAGCAACAGTAACTAGACATTTTACCAAAGAGATTACAAAAATGTCTGTCAACATCCCTGAATACCAACAACTACTGCCTCAAAAACATTTCATACCAGCAATAACAGCATTAGTTGATGCCACAGCAGGAATGATCCTCTTCACAACTCCTGTGGCACAAAAACAGTCGAGTTAAATTCTAGCACACTGTTACAGACGATTGTGAATGAGGCAGTTGTCAATTGTGGTGTGAAATGTAACATTTCCACAAAAATAAATATTGTCTGATGTGCCACATTAGCAATGAATAAATCATTGTCTTTTAATTCACAAGTTCACCTTGAGTGAGTCTGTATGTCACTCCTGTAATGCTAAACTCTGCAGCTCTTTCTTGGGATCTTTCAAACACCCACTGGATGTGCTCTGGGTTGTCTCCATCTAAGCTGGTCTCTAGTTGAGAAGAAGACCCTGATTGTTAGCCTTTATTGTAGAGATGTACAGGCAGAAGGTTACATAATGTGATGAGATGTATTGAAATAAAATAGATTTATTTTAGCTTACCTCCAAATGGCTTTTCTTTGGGCCACTGTAAGATTCTGGCATATTCAATGCAATGTTCTGGTAGCCTAGGCATTGACGCAATGGTGCACATGGGGAAATTAATCTGTGGATAGTAATATTAAAGTCAAGAATAAATCATTTAAAGTCTGCACAGTGAAGTCAGTCAAAGTCTACCCCTGCTATAATACAAACAACTATAAACTTGAAGCTGCTCATTAAGAAATTAATTTTATACTCTAATTTCTGTGTTTTGGCTGGATCTTTGGTGCAAAATAGTCCCTACTGTGCTGGTTTTGCACTTCATCTGTCTGTATGTGACACGTTTTTCTCTAATTTTCTGGCACTATGTCTGTTCGGTCGTGTTGTTATCACCGCTTGTGTTTATGACCCAAGTCTTTTTTCGCCACAGACAAACAGCTGCTGCTGCAGATGGAGATGGGAAACATCACCTCCTGTGCACCACAGACGCTTTCTCCCACCCAAAAGGCGAGTTGAACAGCTGATGTGGAAGCTTACATAAAAACTTAATTGGCTGGTTAACTACTCCGTCATATAATTTATCCATTAAAAACAGAAACAAATGGCATTTAATGTATTTATATGAATATAAAGTAGAAGATAAATTGCTGTTAAAAAGTGACCTGTGGCGGGTACAGCTCCAGTGTGCAGTCGATGCACGCAGTCATGCCGGGCAAAATGACTCGAGCGTTTCCTTTGAAACCTTCTGTTCCTCCATCGATGAGGGGGATGATGGAGCTGGGATCCAGGACTCCGTCTTCATAGCTCAGGAGGGATATCTAGAGAAGTCAACCTCAATCATAACTCACAGCAGATTACACCTATGCAAGTCTGATCAAAGATATATTCAAACTGAGATACAATAAACTAAATCAAACGTCTCTTTCCTACCAGCATCCCGTTCATCCAGCGTCTGGCAATGATAGAGTCCAGTCCACAGACGATGATGTGGAACTCTGCAACGAGAGGAGTGTTTAAACCTCTGAGGCGCTTGCTTAGTAAGCTCTGCTAATGCATAGACCGTGTAAGAAAAACACTTACGCCTGTAGAAAGAGTCATCAAAGTCTTGGATCTTTTTAAAGTGACTGCATGTTATGAATAAGGAACACAAATCGGGGGCCAAAATATTTTATACAATTTAAACAAAACCTGATACTATAAGAAAAAAACTAGAGACAAAATGTTTTTTTAATTGTTGCGGCAAAGGATACGGGACAACTTTACATCCAGGGATACGACTGTTGATAAAGTCAGCAGCCACGTCTGCCTTTGGTCGTCCAACATCTTTGGGTCTAAATTGATGCATATAGCAGTTAATTGTAGGACATAAATGCTGAATGTAATCTGATTTTATGACACTGGAATGGTTACAATATTACAGCGACCTAGAAGAAAATTCATGGATAAAATTAAGGGCTATCAGACTATTACATCATCACATAGTCATATACATCATACACATTTTGATCTTTGATAAGCATTAGGTAATGAATAAAAGGAAATATTATAAAAATGATTGAGCAATGTAAGTATATCACACCTTTTATTTGTCAAATATTAAACCACTGTTCAAACTATAAAGAGGGGGAAAAATGGAGGTGAAACATACCTGAAAAGAAACTGCCTGTTGAGGTTGGACACGTCAATTGTGTCCATATCAACGACGTGAATAAGGCGAAACCCAGACAGAGCCTAAAGCACAACAAGACGATGTAAGAACTTATCTAAAAAGAGCAACCAGTGAAGACAGTCTGTGTTTGCTCAGCTTACAGGATAACGTACATTAAAGCTATTTCCTACCAGATTTTTGAGGAGTTCACATCCAAGTCCTCCTGCGCCAATGACCAGAATCTTGCATGTCTCCAACAAGAACTGTAGAGACTGTACAGATGAAAGAAGCACAACAATATTTAAGGAATATGTGCTGTGATTTGCAATATGACCATAACTAGACGGTGTGACTACACTGATTCAGTTCAACATATGAAAAGAGTGCTCTCCGTTTCCGAGACGGTATTTCTATGTCACCTCAGTGCTTGGCTCAAAGTCAGGATGGGTGAACGGGCCCGGTCTCTCCAGAAACTTCTTCACATGATTCCATCGGCCATCCCAGTCGCAACCACCGTCCCTGTGTCCACCATCTACAGCCATTCTGGACACAAAACACCCCAAAATACACTCAACTTATACAGTAACGTAACAATTTGTTAATTTCTTGTTACTTAAACCTTTAATAATACTAGTTATTCCTCATAACATGCATTTTTCAAGGGAGACATTTCTGAATGTTGTGTAAAGAAGGCAGTGAAATTAAGCAGTTGGCCAAAAATAGATGAGAAAGAACAAGCCACCATTCATTTCATCTGTTGTGCATAAATGATGGCACCTAAACTAGCCAATTTAACTTTTATTGATGACTGATAACTCAACAATCTGAATCAAACACTCTAAATTGGTCATATGAGTCCCCTGGACTTGCTGTGAAGTGTAGTCTAAGAATAGTGCGTCACTTAATCTCTCGAGCAACAATGTGAGATAAAAATCACTCAGTTAAACATCTCACATCTCATATACATGCACCCAGAACCACTGTACTAAGAGGCAGTGCCTAACTGATCTTCAGAAATATTTGCTATGTCCAATTCCACACCGCATACTAACGAACTAAACTAAGTAATATGCACTATATACTACTCTTTACAGTATAACGCTTTCGCAGTTAGAATACAAATCAATATAGTTTATTGTTGTATGTGAGCAGGAAATTATACAAGTCCCATCAGACATCAAACTGCAAAAGTGAAACTCTGTGATTGGAGCTTTCTTTCTGGAGCTGCTTCACCACTGCTTTTGAGCTCTGTAGCTCCTCCATTTTTACTTTGTGCATTGCATTGTGGGACAGGTGCACAGCACAAGTGTTTATTTGAATGCATAACTGACTTTAAGTTTACTTGGTTGTCACTTGTCACTGCATTTTAAACACACACACATACTCGACCTGCGCTGCTGCAGGACTAGTATGTAGTGTGTAAAATGGTAAACAGCTATGATGTGTAGATCATTCCGGATTTGTCTTGCAGGGAGGACGCAGGGTTGGTGCAGCGCAGTGTCTCTGCATTATGTTTGACACTGTGAATAGATACGTTGTGTCAATGGGATGCATTGTACCACCCCCTAACTGCACTATTAAGGCTGTCCCTTGCTAAAAAATGTTCACTTTCATGTCTCCTGGCCCAGCAGTCGCTGCTCAGAGTGCAACGCAAACCTGCTGCCAGTCAGAGACCTTTATTTAGCAATCGTCACTAACTTCTCAGTGAGGTCCTCTATTCGCCTTCTTTTCTTCTCCCTGGAAGGAGAAAGAAAAACGGGGTTCAAGCGTGCCGGGTTAACATCAGAAGGCGAGAGCTGAACTACCATAAAATGATCATTTTCGCCCATTGAGACTTACGGCTCCACGGCATCCGCCATACTTTCACGGTCCCATGTCCTCGATTGTGACTGCTGTGTTTCCGAGTGTCAAAGCTGCACACAGCAGCAGTAACAGAGACATGCTATTCCCTCATTAAACTGAACTGCATATTGGACTGAGTCTGTAGAATATTTAGATGTTTCCCCATAAAAAAAATGAATAGGTAAAAGATGTTATATCAGGTTATATGTAAATGTTTGCATTATATATAGTATAAATGAGATTTTTGAAAGCACTGTGAAACGCTGCTATATAATATATAATATATTTATTTCGGTTACGAATTTTTGGTTATATTGCTCTATTTATTATTAATAATATTTGTAAAAAATGAATGACAATAATAATGGTAATCATAGTAATAATAATAATAATCACCTTTTATATTTAATGTATTAAAGATAATAAATTTAACAAATGTATTATTGGCTAGACATACAACAGTACATATATGCAAATTTACTGAAATCTTATAACTTGTTAATAATTAATCTAAAAACTAATTTAATAACTTTCATCGTGTTTTTTGGCGTTTTTTTGGCGTTTTTTATTCATTAAACGTAAATAAATCAAGATGCGCATTCTAGTGCGCAAGTCCGCTCCGACCCTTCAATAATCTGACTCTCGCGAGATCTTGAGCGAGACTACAGGGCTCTCGTTTTGACTCCGCTCCTCCTCCGAGCTCAGACGGCGATCAGCTGACCTGTCAAAATATTACGCAGCGTGTGTGTGTGGGTTCGTTGTGTTTGTGTGTGGCTCACAGCTAACACGGTGAAGAGATGGCAGCCAAGATGGAGCTCGCACCCCTCAGACCGTGGGACGACTTCTTCCCCGGAACTGACCGATTCGCCAAACCTGAGTTCGGAGACTTGGCGAAGTGGAACAACAGAGTGATCAGTAACTTGCTGTACTACCAGACGAATTACTTCGCCGTGGCTCTGGCGGTTTTCCTCGTTGTAGGGTGAGTTCTGGCACCGTGCTAACGCAGACGGGCTAGCACCCCTGACTCTGTGTTTAATTAGCCCGCATACCTTCTACCCACACCCATCATGACCACGCAGGTTATTCCTGTAACATCCTCTGAGACACTGTAACTCTTCTGTAGCATCTGTCCTTTAGGTATTTAACCTGGCTCGGGTTAACGTAGAGCAGTTAAACACATTTTAGCTACATAAGTTAGTTAACTCAAATATCTTCGTATTCAGTAAACAGCAACGCTCAGTAAGAAACACTGTAGCTGTTATCTTACGTACAATGTGTGCAAGTGCTGCATGTTGTCAAACGGACAACAACAGATCCTTTGTATTTTTAAAGTAACGGATGTTGAATTAGTGAGGGATACCACATTACATTTGGAGCTCACATATCCCTGCTGCTAGCTGGTGGTGATGGCTATATCAAGCTGGTTTCATAGTTTTTTTTTTTAATACAGGATGATGTAGTGGAAATCATGAGTACAGGCCTTACTGCAGCCATCTGCCCTCCAATGGCTTACACCAGCTGGCCAGGATGTTAGCTATTGTTGATGCAACCAGCAGGTTGTGCTATTTGTTAGAAATCTTTCATGTGCAATGTGTCTTCTTTCATGTTCCAATTATTCAGGTTCTTTAACCCGTTTGGCATGTTTCTGGGAGGAACTGTGGTGGCTCTGGTTTTCATTGGTTCAGTGTGGGCAGGAGAGAACAAGGCCTTCGTCAAGAACTTCAAAAGGAGGAACCCCACTCTGTTTGTCATCGGGGTCATGGTCACCAGTTACTTCCTGCTGTCTCTGTGTGGTGGCGTCATGGTCTTCATCTTTGGAATCACCTTCCCTATGCTGCGTAAGTCTCACTGCAATTGTTTCACGTGGTTTTCTTTTTACTGAAGTGAATGGAGGATTCAGTTATTAAGAAATCACTCCCTGTGTGATAGTTTTTTTTGGCAACGCAATACAGTGTCCGAATTCAAAGTGTGACGTTTATGCACTATATGGTGAAAAATTCCCACATTAAAATGAAAAAAATGACCATACGCTACTTTCTACTACCAGTCCCACATATAGCGACATGTCACATTTACCTATTCTTACACTCGTGACAGAAGCTGACATGTGAGGTGCCAGCTGCTCATCAGAAATGAACAAATCCCATTCACACACACTCCCACCCCGATGGCACAGCATTGGGAGGAATTTGAGGTTCAGTAGTGGGACAGCTGTAGAGGTAGAGGAGCCGGGGATTGAACCGCCAACCTTCTGATTCGTGGACGACCCTGAGTCACAGCTGCCCCTATACGATGCAGTGTATTACCCTATTTCATAGGGGCGAACACACAATTGTTAGTGGTGACCAGTGTTGGGCTAGTTACTCAAAACATTTAATTTATTACTCATTACTTATTACTCTTTTCAAAAGTAATATTAATTGCTATCCGTATTACTCCCTGCCAACAGTAACTAGTTACACTACTAGTTATATTACTTTTCCCACAAAGTTGATAATTGTGTTCTTTCTTCCCAGAATTAAGATGTATGACAATTCAAATCCACTCTTGTTTGTTAAAATCAAAGTAAGGGGAATATTTCCAGTTAGTTTCCTCCACGATTACACACATTAAACCAAGGATGTGAGTGAATTGTTGGATTTCAAATCAGTAAAGGATTATTTTTGGGTGGGGTAATATTATTACTGAAATGTATCTGTAATTAGTTACACTATTAGTTAATAGGGAAAGTGATATTATGACTGTAATATAATTACTAGTAATTACTTACTGCCCGACACTGGTGCTGATGCAAAATGATGATGAGTCATATAAGGGCCCAAAATCTCATTTTGCTGCTCACTATAGACTGAATATATTGAGTGTTTTATTATGTAAGGAGTAGTGAAAGGGAGTGTTTTTAGACACAGCCTTGGTTTAGGCAACGCATTATCAGTTTCTAGTATTAACGAGGGGCATGTGAAAGTTTATATTTAGCTATATCGTATTACTCTGACATTAATCTTCTTGGACTTATTGGACACATAATAATTCAATAATTTGAATTTGACCAAAAAAAAGTGCACAAGGTTTTATTTAGTGCAAATGTTCCAGAGCTTTCAGTCACATCACGTAGCCTTTACTAAAGGGTCCAGGTTGCCCAGTTGTCATGGAGATGGTTCAGTCGTTACCACATGAATATGAAATTGTGGTCCTGTGATAACATTGTGCTAAGGATCTTGAAATCAGTAATGAACATTCAAGTTTTTTTCTTTTCCATTCTTTTAAAAATGTTTTTGCCAATGTTGCCCTAACCTCTCCTGTAGGTACTTCAAAAACAAAACAAATGAGCTGTCAGTCATTTTTAATAGTTTGCTTTTGGCTCCAACTAGTCACACACCCACCTGTAATTTTAGGGCTTGGCTGCTGTAAAATTAGATTTAGTTATGAGGAATCACACACACGTTGCTTTCTCTTATTCTGTATCTTCTGCAACGCTGTGATTTTAATACAAGAATGAACTTTGAGGCATCTGGTTAACACTGTTTATTTTACTTGCATTTAGCTTCACTACACTTAAATTTAACAGATGTGACAAAAACATTTATTCTTTTTAGGAACTACTTAAACTTCTTTTTAAAATCTTTTATAGATTTGGTGTTTTTTTTTCTATTTTAATTTAAACTCCCTACAGTATATTGGAAACACTTGTTGGCTAATGCAGGGAGATGGTGAGTCACATTGGGATTCATAAACTGAGGTTTTTCTGTGGGTGAACAAGTATTTCCGAACACTCTCTCATTCTGACTCACTGTAGGGATCGAACAGTACAGTCCTACTGACATGCCTTCACTTATGACACAGAATGTAAAATAAAGTCAGCAATATAGGGCGAGCTATACTGTAGTTTAGAGTCATAGTGTTGGATTTGCTTGAGCTCTCAAAATACATTAAAAGTCAGACCGTCAGCAGAGTGGTTTAGATAATTGATGTGTTGGATCGTTAGAACAAATGTAGCAGCTCTAACATCGTGGGGGATAGATGAGACAGTTTGATCACTTCCCAGGAGGCCTGCCCGCTGCTTGTGTTGATGGGTTGCCATGGGTTGTTGATTTGTACAGAACTACATTTACTGGCTGATGTCATGCACTCAGTATCTGCCTGACATGGGAATAAAAGATATGCCGAGCCTTAAACCGACTTTAGAGTTGCAACACTATCAGATTTTGTTTCCTTTTTTTCCAAGATGCATTCAAGAGAAAATTATCTAGAAACTAAAAGGTATCTTTTTTATTTCCACATTAGGGGAAAAAAATACAAATAACTTGTTGTTTTTCCTGTAGTGTGTCTGATTCATGCCTCGCTGAGACTGCGCAACATGAAGAACAGACTGGAGAACAAGATTGAGGGTGTTGGGCTGAAGAAGACCCCCATGGGCGTCATCATGGACCTCCTGGATCAGCAGGAGGAGAAAATGAACAAGATTCAGGATTTCATTGAAAGCAAACTGAAGGAATGAGGCTTTACACCAAAAGTGTGCCAAGGGAAGTCAGTGTCATACAGTGTGGATGAATTCAATTTCCATGTGTCTCAAATTTGTATCCCCTCTATTAATACATGTAAAGTTACTCATGTAACATTCATGCATTCCCATACTTTTTATCCATTTTATTTTATTCTTTGCACTTTTGTGTTTACATTATCTGAAGCGTAAGGATGGATAATGCCATTATAACAAGATTTGCACAATCACAGCGTGGATTGGATGTTGAAAGGCAATGGGCAGTAAAGGTTACCAAAGGTGTCAAAAATAATTCCAAAAACAAATCGTTTCCCTTGATTATGCACTGTGTTTTACCCAATGACTGACTATTTATTTCAGAAAATTAAAGCAGAATGTCTGAACACAATATTTAATGCAGTTGTTAGATGCCATTTATATTTGTTCTAAAAAAGAAATCAAAATCCTCACTGTTTGCTACCTCAAAACAAGCATGTTTAATTTTCTTCTCACTGAGTAGACCCACAGCAAGACCCAACATCCAGTAAACTGCTTTTTGAACAGCAATAATTCCCATCTTGTTTCTTCAGGAGCTGTATGAATACTGATCTGAGACCAGTTTGCTTTTTGTGGAGACAGTTACAGTATATGCCCTGACTAAAAATACTTGAGTTTAAATATTCCTATTCTCAAGAGATTTGTGCGTACAGTTCCTGACCATACAGGCTGGCCTGAGTGTATCCCTTCTGATCACAGCTATGCAATATTGAAAAATGAATGGCACATGCAGCTTTATTGTTTGAATATTCTATCATAGTATGTAAACGTTTGTTGTTATTTCTGATGTGTCTTTATTTTAATAATATAGCATGCAGAAATGTATTAAAAAAATGCATAATGCAGGTACATTTGCCAATGATATAAATTACTGATTAAACTGATTCACTTTAATTACTCTTTAATTACAGTATTAGAAAATACTGGACTAGAGACATACGGACCTCCCATTTAAGTTTGTGATCAAATCCCTTTTTTCCTTGTGAAAAGAATCCAAATTAAATCAAGTCAAGTCAAGTCATCTGTAATGTTAAGTGTTCATTTTCTACTGCTACTCCTTGATGAGTAAGAGCAGTTGTTTCTTGTTGTTTTTCACACATGCACACTGACTGCAGTTTGTGCATGCTACTTTCACAAATGGCAGTTCAGAGAGATCCTTTATGTTATATGAATGCTATATTATATATTATCTGTTTTTATGTGACTTTCATTCTCTTCAAATCACAGAACTTTAAGTAAAACATGTCTGTCCTCTATAAAAAATAAAGATAACCTGATTTATGTTGCAGTCTTTTTCCAATTGAGTGTGAATATGTCGATGTGCTTATTTATAACAAAATTAAGTTGTTCTTGTCTTATTTCGGTTAAATCTTCCTGAGAAACAAAGTTGTGAATTGTAGGCTATTGCGGAAACAAATGAAAAGCTTATTTATAACACAACTGAACTAATGATTATCCCCTCCAGGATTATGCAATGCCATTTGATTCAGTTTGATTAATTGTCCACATGGCATCAGTTTTTTTCAGGATTCTGACTCATCTCCCTTTCTTCAAATACCCTCCCTGTATAAAAAAAAACAAGAGGTTAGTAATTAGAATTTTTTTCATATCTGTTCCTCTAAGAATATGAAAAGTAAAAAAGAGCAACTGCGATGATTCATTGGGGATCCATTTAGTTTGACACTGATTTTAATAAAAAAGAAGAACTACAATCCCCACAAAGTGTTTTATAGCAAAATGCAAACATATGGAACAGGTTATGCTCTAAAATGAATTGTCTAACAATTAATCAAACAAACCTACTCTAAAAATATAATTTTAGCACAAAATCTTAAGAATGTGTCATTATTTTGGAAATATACGGATTTGTACTTAAGATTTTAACCTGCAGGCTCTGTTTTTTAGAGATAACAGCTGCTGAAAAGGTAACACATAATAACAATGTAATAATATATTATGTTTTGGCAATGAACTCTTTTAATTTTATATCTTTATTGTTATGATAAAGAAATCAGCAACAATTTAGTGCAATAACAACACAAGAGTGGAACAACAACCATCTGATATTTGTTATGTATTATGACAATATAGTTCACTCTTACTGCACACAGTTCGTTTGAGTAGTTTTAGAGTGACTAATGCCTAATATGTGTAGAATAAACATACAATATGGTGAAGAAAAAACACACAGCTGAGGTTGTAGCCTTAGAAGAGACTTGTTTCACTTGATTCCAGGCATTTAGGGAGTGGCACCTGCAAGAAGCAACAAAGGAAAGAATAAAAAGATGACTTGGATTTCTAGACCAGTATATGTATACATGGATACTTGGTGTAAAATCATTATAAATCATATTAGAACACCCTATAAGCTTTAAAGCATGTAAGATAATTTAATGGTCTTCTCCTTTAAGAGCTTTGACACTATCATAGCAACCCTTTTTATCAGTTAAAAAAATCTAACTTGTCAGGTGCTCACAGGATCCCAACTTAATGATCTCGCAATTCAAACTCCTGGATACTTACAGATTTGAGATAGGCCACGTTGCTCTGTTTGATTTCACTTAGGAGCTGATCACGGGGTGTGGGATCAACCTTTGGTGGCACTCGTCTGCGAGGGACAGGCTTCAAAGTCTTAATCACATCAGTCAGGTTTGCTCTTTCATCTGCCACCCCGTCACTGCCTGCATCCTTCACTTTAGGGGTCTTCCTCAGTTGGAAACTTGCCCTCCCTGGTCTTATGTCATCCATCTCCAGAAAAGGGTCACGTTTCTTGGGAGTCCTCTTCAGCTGGACGTCCCTCAGTGGGTTTGCTGGTTCGGCACTAGGTTGTTTGGGAGTGCTGTTGTGTTTGAACTGCTTCTGAGGCTTAGGCTGTTCTGCCTGGTGGTGTATTTGAGGTACAGTGCTCAGTTCTGATGATGGTGGGATGAGCCCATGCTCCTGCAGGAGTTCTAGAGGCGGTATGTACCCTAGCATCTCAAGTAAACCAGGAGGCAGGTTAAGACTGTTCTCATACCTCTGCATCAGCTCCCTCTGCTCCTTCTGTTGCTGCTGCTTCTGCTCCTCCTTCCTCAGCTGCCTCTGGCGGTCAAGATTCCTGGTTAAAATGTTTGTCACCACCATCCTCGGCCCCGGCTGCTCAAAGTGATAGCCCATCTTCAGGAGGGTGTTGTTGGCCTTGAGCAGGCGTGAGATCTCCATCTCGGCGTGGTGACCCAGCATGTGCCTCTGGTTGTGAAAACGCAGCTCTGTGAGGGTCTCATTGAATTGGAGGCAGCGGATGATGGCGACGATGCCCTTTCCGGTTATGAAGTTGGACTCAATATTCAAAGTCGTGATGCTACGATTCTCTCGTAACATGTTGGCCAGGTTGAAAGCTATGTTTTCATCGACACCGGTGTTGGCTATACTGAAGGTTTTCACATACTTGTTCTTCTTCAAGGCGTTGACGTAGTCTAAGAGCATCTCTTTGGGAATGTTTTCTATGTTGTTGAGGTTTACTTCAGTGATAGAGGGGTTGTTTTTGTGGATTTTGTCAAGTGTCGAATCCAAGTTTGTCTCATTTCCCGAGGGTCTTGATGTCATTTTTATATTATTGAATGCCAGCTTTGGAATTTTTAACTTGTTAATTTTTCTCTCTTCCTTCTGCGGGAGCTTATCATTGGCTTCATTTGTCTCAGGCTCTTCTGGAGCCTCTTTGGGAAGCAAAGAGTCTGTTGTTTTAATTTCCTCTTTCTCTTGAACTTGTGATGTGCTGTCTCCTGGGGGTAAGTCCTCCCTCTTCTCATTTGTGTCTGAAAAAGACTGATTGTTATCTTCATTGTTTTCTGGTACTTTTTCTTTGTTGTTGTCTGGAGGCTCTACATCTTTGTCTATATGTTCATGTTCTTCTGTTTTCACCGGTGAGTTCGCCTCTTTCTCATCTTTCACATCCACCTGTTTGTCCTTTTCATCCCCCTCATCAACCTCTTCAATAATTTCCTCAATGATCTCTTCTATAATTTCCTCTCCATCTGTACCATCTACAACTTCTTCCTCAATGACTTCCTCTATTACTTCATACACTTCATATTGCCCATCTTCTGTGTTTTCTTCTTTTTCTTTCTTTTCAGCCTCTTCCCTCAAAGTTTTCTGATGAAAACAACAAATCACACCAATGTTATTCCATTGTGCTATTTCAGACACTATTTGGTGTTTTTCATTCTGCCTGTAACATTTCATATTATAGGGTTTATAGTTTCGAAGGAAATACTGATACTTTTAATTCATCTGTGAACTTTTGAGGGTTTGACTTCTTACCTCACTAGGTAGCAGAGTGGCAGGCACTCTTTCCTCCTCAAGCATACGTGTGGACTCTTTCTCCCAGTAGAGGTAATCAACCAGGGATCTGTGGTCAAATGTCCCTGTAGGAGGCTTCTCCGTCTGATCCTTTTGTCTCTGTCCAACCGGTACAGTCTCATCTGGGGCAATAATAACGTCCATCTCACTCTGGAGCTCCTTAAGCTCCTCGGGTGAAAGCATAGCAAGGATTTCATCCTCATCGATGTCCTCTTCATTGAGATCCTCAAGGTCTCTACTGTTTGACATGTTTGTGCTGTATAGTTTCTTTCTTCTGCTGTTATCAAAATGGAGGATAAGTTCAGTCTAATCTATGACTCAGGACAGAGCAAACTGCTTCTGACTTTGACTTCAGCTACAATCCGTTTGCTCCGGCCTCATGTGGAGTCTAAAATTAAACCCTGTGAACTGCATTGGAAGATATTTAAGGTACAAGCAGGGGAAAGACACGCTAACATTCTTCTTTCAGCCCCTGCTCCCAGCTGGCCTGGCCATCAGGATCTTTTGGGATGACAGTTGCTTCAGGCAAAGGAAAGTGTAGGACTGACAGCAGCAGGTGGACCATTTTCACAGGGCTGGTGGGGGGTATGCACACAGAGCTCCTCCGAGTCTCCCAGAGCTCTGTAGAAGCCATAACCTCTGAAGTGCTGCACAACAACAAAAACATGAGCTCAAGCCAGATGAGATAATTTGTCTTTAGGGAAATTGATACTAACAGTTGAAGAAGAGACATTTCTTCTGTCTGATTTTTTTTTAGATCATTACTCAAAGCAACATTTGATACAAAGCAAGTGGAAATTTCTTGGCATACTCGCCAGAATAAATCCACAAAAATACTGTACTATCCAAGGTGTTGATACAGATACGGACAGTATCTCAGACTTGATCTTTGACCTATGTTATTTTTATTTTTAAATGCTATAATATGATATGATATAATATACAGATCTGGATACAGAGTCATAAACTTGGATCTTTCCAGATACAGGTCCTTTTTGTTCAGTGCCTGAAAATTAACATTTATTTATATAAAATAAGAAATCAAAAACCTTTCAGAAATAGTTTGACATCTTTAGGAAACAAATTTACTTATACACTATCTTACAAAGTTTAGATATAAATGGGGTGTCCAACACCTCATCTAACTCTCAGCCAGAAATCAAGTACCTTTAAGCCTATTTGGCAAAATGTCGGACTATTCCTTTAAGACTTACTCATTTCGTCAATAACAGAACCTGAACCGGTTGTTTACCAGCCATACAAGCCTCTCAAAGAAAGTGACAACAGCCATTTATGTGTCACACATGTATTTATTCACATCCTTGTTCCCAGTGGAAAATATTTTATGACAACATCTAACAACATATAACTACACACTGACTGTACAAATGTGTGAAAAAACAAACAACAAGACATGAATATGGATTTTACGGCAGTGGTCTGTTAATATAAAAACAAGTTCTTATTTAAAAAAAAAAATCAATATTCTTACCATGCATTTTAAAACACATTACGGCACCAAGAAAGACAAATGATTCTATAAACAATATTGACATAATACATTCTGATTCAAAGTTTAAAGAAAGTAAGAAATGGAAATTCATCGAAGACACAGTCTGCTCTAATGAATGATCAATTCAGTTCTTGTCATGTCACACTGTGAACATGTTCAAGCTTTGTTTTCAATTTGGATGAAATATGTAATTATTATTTTATCATACTTAATGAGATGAAAGTGGTGAAAATCATCTTTATTCTATAACCTACTGTTTTGTATAAGGCAGTAGCTAGTTCTTGTTAAAATACATGGAGTTCAGTAAAAACACATGTTGTCTCTTTTTTCATATTTAAAACACAATAGGGTTTGAATCCAGTGTGGTTGTGCAACACCTTAAAGTTTCTTGACACATTCTCATCTGCCTGTACAATTCATCCAATCCAAGGCACATGGGAAAGTCATTCAAGAGTGTCATCACTGTGTTCAGAGGTTACTTTAACATGAGGACAGCGTACACATAGACTCTGCCAAAACAGATGAACATCTCCCAAGACATGGTTATGGCAACATGTGTACAGCCTGTGTTTCAACTTCATCCCCTTCATGTGCTGCTGACCATGGCTTTTGTGCCAATGTTTGGTTTGGTCCTCTTCAGCGGATGCTCATGTAGCTTCCATCCAGGTGAAATCTGTACAGGCAGTGACACAAGAATATGTCAGATTTACTGTCATTCAGCTCTTTAAGGAAACACATGGCTGAACCTTGTGAGAAAACTGAGGAATGGAAATGGAAATGCAACACATCAAAATGTCCACAATACTTTGTGAAGGCATACATGATTTTGGCTTCATGGAGTGAATGGAAACATCCTGCTTTTTAGCCACGCGGTGGTTCAATGTCACTCGGTCAGTTCATCATTTTGGCCCAGTCTAAAATATCTTGCTATAGGAATGATTGCCATGACCTTTGATTCAGAAATGTACTGATCCCTGGAGGATGAAGCTATGGGGATCCCCTGACCTTTCTTTTAATGCCACCATGAGGTTGAATTGGTCTATTTTTAGTGAAATGTTTTGACAACATTTGGACAGATTGCCATAAAATTTGGACATTCACTTTCCACTCAGAGTGGTTGTAACTTTGGTGATCCTCTGACTTTTTGTCTTGTGCCTAACATTGAAATAGTTTGTCTAATACGTTTGACCAAATACATGCAAAACTAATTCCCATCATCCTCAGCTGCACTTTGTGTTTAGTGTTAATGAGCAAATGTTAGCATGCTAACATGCTAAGCTAACATGGTGACCATGCTAAAGAGTTAATCTGCTAATCATCGTCCTAATTAACATTGTCATTGTGAGCATATTACCATGCGGACATTAGCATTTAGCTCTGCCTCAATACAGCCTCACAGATCTGCTAGCCTGGATGTAGAGGAGCTGTAGGAGTCCTGTTACTTTCAAATCATGAGATAAACAGCCAACACAAAAGCTGTGCCTGAAGAAAAAATCAACAGACCACACTGTGAAAATGTGGATGATTTGATAAAGCTATACAGGAGTAACACACGAATGAAGAAGGGATGTCAAAATGGAGATGACTGGCAAACACGACACAAAACCCGCTGTGTTTTGTCTCACCCTTAAGTGCTAGAATGGTTGTCTGATGGTTCATCTGTACTAGTGGCCTCAGAGCCAACCACCTCAACTGACTCAGATTTTTTAGGCATAGTGTCAGAAACTTTGTTTTCTGGAGAACATCTGCACACGTGGGCATTAATCATAAGTCAAGGCAGGAAGGAAGAGAGGCAGGGAGAAAGAGAGAAGATCCTCATGGTTACATTTTTTATGAGCTAAATTGTTGCAGGTCATACAAATGGAATACAAGATAAAAGCACTTTCTTACAAATGCAGAGAAATACAATGTGGTGTTTTATCTAGAGGCAGAGCAGCACACAGAAACAAAGGCCTTAAACGGCAACAGGCATGCATTAAATGAAACATTGGCAGAGGACATTATTTTATCCATATGCATTTTATCTAATATTCCACTATCAATTAAACTGAAAGAACAACCCCCAGCTGTCTGTGACTGACTCACTTCCTCTAGCATCCACAGCTCAGTATAGAGGTTTCGTAAACTGCAGCACTCACCTGTTGTGTGTGGGACTGCGGTTGTACGGAGAAGCAGGAGCTCCTGGGTGTGGGTACTGAGGTGTGTCGGGTGACTCGTACTCTGTCAGGCCGACTGCCAGCTGGTTGCGCCAGTTGCCTGTGCTCTCCACTGAGGACACTGCAAACAAGGCAAAAGCAAAAACACTCAGCTAACGTTGGAGTGTACCTCAGTAGTAACTGTTGTTATTGGAAACACTCTTCTGTCCATCTTAACGTCACTCTTGCAAAACAAACACTCGACCTTCACATTATGTTATAACAGTACTGTTACTGCCACTTCACACTGAAACTTTACAATTTTATGTTGTAGACCTACAAACGTGACAAACTTGCTGTTTTACTAAATTACAAGTACCAGTTGGTGCATTTTATGTATCACAGTTATATTTAAATAAAATACTTTAAACCCCTTTTCCTTAAGGTGCAACTTAGTTTCCTGATCCAAACAATAAGTGAAACGCTCCACTAAAATCAACTTAAATAAAATAGTCGTTTGGGGGTTAGCAGCTCTTAAAGCTTGATGGAGGAGTTCAAAGTGAAGGAGAATTAAATATGGAAACAAAACACCATATTCACTGATATCTATTAAGTAATAAACAACCTACAGCATGTGTATGTAAATATATCCTTCATTTAGAATAAGACCAAAAACTAGTTTTATTAAATTGCATTTTATATATATTGCTTCCTACACCAGTATTACTGATTTGTTTTTTAAAAATGCACCTGATGAAAAGGAGGTGGTTCTGCTGGAGTGGCTGAAGGCGGCTGGCATGGTCTGGTAGCCCAGGCTGAGCTGAGAGCCACTGTCGAAGTCATATCCAGTCAACATCCCCCTCCCTCCTTCCCTGTGACCCTTGCTTCGGTGGTACCAGCCTTTCAGATGCTCCGCCACCAGGGCCTTCTGCATGTTCTTGGCCAGCAGCTCATTTCTCGGCCCCTCTCTGTTCCGCGGCGGCCTCACAGTTGCGTAGGGATTCTGGGAAATACTATCTGCCCGGTCACTGCTGTAATGCCTGAATCTGTCATGTCCGTGAAACCCATTTATTTGGTAGGAAGGGTTGACGTTGTAGTGGCCCTCTACATCATTTTCATACACATAGGCACCATTAGCGTAAGGCTCCATGTCCGGGCAGGGGTAGCCAGCGACATAGTAGGCACTGGGTGCATAGTGTGCTGAGGTCTCACATGAATAACTACAACCAGAATGGTGCTGGACCAAATTGGGCATACTCCCAGTATTTCCATACACTTCCACCTTCCTGTGGAGACGATGCATGGTTGAGGTTCGGGAGTCTAGTGTACTGTAGTGGGAGTTGGCCGCCCCGCAGTAGTCCAGACTGGACTGGCTGGTGTAGGATGAGCAATCCTCTAACACCTCTGTGCTGTTGCTGCGGTGGGCTGGTGACAAGATAAAGACGGGCTTCTCTGAGTCTGTGTCTTTTCTTAGATGGGGCTGTGACTCCAGACTTCCACTGCGATGCCTGAAGCAATGAGAAGACCCCTCCGACCTAGAGAAGGGACACAACTTTTAAACTGTCTTCTAAAACAACAAAATCAGTGATGGAATAATATTTCTGGATGTATTAGTTAGAATCAAGGTTAGGGTTAAAAGTTAGGGGGTTGGAGAGAAGCAGGAATTTGGTTGAAGGGAAGTTATTGTTGAGGAGAAGGAAAGATATTGGGTTAGCAATGCAGGGGAGCAGAGATCACACCTGAGCTGGCTGCTGCTGTAGGCATTGCGGGTCATAACCGGGGTGGGAGGCATGCTGCGTGGATCTCTAGGAGGTCTGGGAAGGGTTTTATAGGGACTACTGTGGGTGGAGGAGACCTCTCTTGGATTCTGGTAGTAGTGGGAAGCCTCCTGGCCTTCAAAAGCTAATCTAAAAGGGTGTGGCATTTGGAGAGGATCCAAAAAAAAAATGTGAGGAAAGGAATGAGGCTGCAAACATGACACGGCAAATAATATGGACTCTACCCAAACATGATATCATTGCTTAATTACAACAGTTCACCTTTTCAGTAAAATCAGAAGTAAAACAAGTTACACATTACATAAAACCTCATGGTAACAATTAGCCTGGGGGCAGGAAATGCGTTCCCCCACCTGCTGTGGTTCTTGCTATGGTGAATTTCTCTTGGAGATCCCTGTCTTTCCACATCATATTCGGCTCCCAGCGATCGCATCGGACTGAGTTGAGGGGAACCTTGCACCGACCGTGACCGTGGCCTCTGACTGACACCATCTGAGTCATCTGAATACAAACAGTAACAATACTGACAGTTGCTCTTTAAGAAGTACTGATAATACTGATTATCATAGCAGGTCAACTGATGATTTTAATGCACCAGAATGTATGTCTGACTCACCATCATCCAGTGGGAGACTAGACAGCGAGCTGCAGTCTGAGCGGACGAGTTCATCTGGAGAGAAAATAACTTCATGTTTACTTGTTTCATGTTTCTTATCTAAATGATAATCCAGCAACAAGGATCAACCTGCACCATACCTGCAATGATCACTGAGGCCCGCTGTGTGGGCTTCTTTCCCTTCTTGATTCTGTACTGGTTCATCTCATCCTCTATCTGCTGGAGTTTGTGCATGGCATCTAAACAGTTTCTCCTCCTCTTCTTCTTGACTGTTTTGCACAGTTCTGGCTCATTTGCAAGCTTTTTAGCTGCCTCCACAATCTTTTGCTGCAGGGCAAATCTGCTCTCCAGGTTCCTCAGGAAGGGATCCTGCAGAAAAAGACAGCACATCCCCAGAAAGAACAATTAGAAACAAGACTTCTGCTACACATAGTTTAATCAGATAATAACTATTATAATATTTATTTTTCCCTTGTTCATTTAAAAGTTGTTAAAGAGTAAATTTGATTAGGACTTAATGTCAACATAAGGTTATTGATGGTATTTTTAAATACGCTTCAGATGCAATACTCCTGTAAATTAGTAGCTGAGTGCACTTACTGTAAACAAACTCTACCTAGACAACAACTAGTGCATTTGTCTGGGACTATTTTCAGCTGTGGGTTTGGTGTGCTAGCAAGTATTTGCAGCATCAGAGTGGGATCAACTCAAAATAAACTACAGTGCCCATGTTCATCGTAATGAAGGAGCATGTCAGGAATGAGATATATCATGCTTTGCCTACACAGACAATACTAGTAGGATCAAGTCATTGTTGACTCATTTGTTCACTCAGTAAAATGAAAATAAAATAACTGTAGTTGGTAGTGTAATATATGAACTTTAACATACATGATACAGATAAAGAGTGTTACACAGATAAGACATGAATTGCTGCTGCATTTGATTAAAGTTGAATACAGACCTCATTGTAAGGGAAAAGTTCATCTAACTTGAAAGCAGTGCCAACTCGCCGTCTGACGTGTGGCGGTCTTTCACCTGAAGAGAGGGGATACTCTTTTGGCAGCTTGCCAGTGAGCTCCTGAAAGCACAAAACAACAAGACCATGATGAACTGCAACCTAACGGCAGAAACATCAATCTGCCCGCTGCGCAGAAACATGGTTTAATAATGCAGCTGACTGAATGTGGCTGTTTAGAAAACAAAGACAAATATAGTGCAAAATATAGTACCAGAGTAAAAGAAGCGTAATACAAAATTATTTCTCACCGCCTCTCTAAGACAAATCTTCTTCAGTTCTTTTGTTTTCTTCGCCAAAATATCTTGGATCTCCTGCTCTTTTTTTCTCAGCTCAGACAGTTTCTCTTTCTTCTGTTCTTCACTCATTTCAGAGTCTGCGGAACCTGTGAAAACAATATTCTTACTATCCTAGCTAACATGGCATACAATAGCCTTACAACAACCCCTTTAAATGAAATCCATGTCATGATACTATATGTGATATCGACTCTTCAAAATGTCCCCGTTACTTTTTATTCGCAAACAGCAACAGCAGTGTTTATCCTTCACAGCACAAATATGATCATGACATGCTCATGTGTGTTTTACAAATACACTTAATAGAGACTTGATTCCATGAAACAATAGACTGACAATGAACTGAAATAACTATAACCAACCTGTAGACACCAGGCTTCCATTGCTGGCTGTTATTAAGTTATTTTTCAGGCCAGCATCTCCCAGTCTGTTTATTTTTGCTCCTCCGTGCTCTGTGAGATCCATGGCAATTTCCTCTACACTTCTTGCTGTTCCTAATTTAGTCTAAAAGAACAAAGAAGAAAATGCACAACAAAGATTAGTGGATGGAAAACTCAGTATTAAAAGTAATTTAATAGTGACTGATAACTGATAACACTTACTTTGCTTTGCTTTCTGTCCAAGTAGAACTGGTGCTGGCTGATAGCCATGACCCAAATGGTTTTGATCAAAGAATGGCTGGCATACCACGTGTGTATGAGTAGGCCCGTCTGCCCAAAGGTGCGCTTGGTTACTGCTCTCCTGTTGCGAGAAACACACCGCAAAAAAAATTACAGGTTGAGACAGAGTTTTTATCACAATTAAAATAAAAGGTACTGTCATATTAAAGATCTCTTTTTTGAGAGAGTGCTAAATAACTGTTAGCACAACAAAAATACAAATCAAACAATCAACTTGTGCAAACAGTCGGTTTAAGAATTACAAAGAAGAATCTCACCTGTGTGGATCATTAACTTCTACAGCAAATTTCTTCTCCCGGAAGTACAAGTTTTCCAGCTGTTTCCACTGGTAAAGCTGCCGGTAAAAATGAGAATTAACAATTAAGAAAATCAGTTTCATGCTCTATAACTCACAGCCTGAAAGAGAGATGAACAGCAGCGTAAAGCTTGGAATAATGGCTTTAAAATGTGTCTATGTGTGCCACAGTCCTGGTGAATATTATTCAGGTTTATTTAAGTAGTATGATAGCCATGAACATCACATAAAGTATTAGGGGGAAAAACGTAGTGCAGGTGTTTAGGGGGGCCTGTCTCAACCACAGTCATTAAAAAAAGCCAGACTGTAACATGAACTGTCATTACAGTCTGGGCCGCCTGGCATGCCAAGTCTGCAATAATGCAGGTGTTAGAGAGCAAACAGTGCCACAAAGGGACATTACACAAAGACTCATCACTGTATACAACACTTTCCATGGCTCATCACGTCTATCCCCATATCACCCAGGTGCTCACTGAGAACCGCCAGATATGAACAATCTATTTGGGTCAGTGACTCACTGTGTGTCTGGACAAGATCTAATGTGGAATGTGTGGATGCTTTGAAGAGTATTCTGTATCACAATGCTTCTACTATACAGGGTAAAAATTCAATAAGAAGTATGGAGACTGGACAGGCAAACATCCACCCAGTTTTATGACAAAAATATTTTAAGATTGATTGATGAGTTAAAATCAACATACAAAATAGTAAATGTTATTAAAAGACAAAAGCTTGGTCTACTTAGAGTAGTACTACCAAAGGCGACCAGACAGTATAGTAAGTATAGTATCAAGTCTTACCAATATAATAGATGTCCAAAAGTCCTGTTTCTTAGTTATTAAATCCTCCCTGGCTTTGCTGTCAACACAAACACATACTTTGTTCCCTCTCCTGTCAGCTCCTGACTTGTCTCCTCAGGTATTCTCAGAACATGCTTGATAACGCCCAAATCCAGCCCCTTTTCACTTTGACATCACCAGCTCACTCCCTCTTCTCCCCTCTAAAACACCCTGCTGCACAGCCGGCTGCTTGCACAACTTTGGAACTCAGCAGACAGAGATGGATTGCACTATATCGAGTGATTGAACAGGACAACAATGTCGGTAAATGAGTGTGAATTGATTTGAACTTTCCAACTGTTCTGTAACAGCACCGCACTGCATGTCTGCACCCAGCTACACAGTCGCATACTGGAGTCACAGACTGGACAACATAACTGACAGATCACTCACATGGGTGTTTCTTCTATCAACTCACAAGCTAAAACAACACCACTGGAACAAGAAAAGCGGGTTCAAACTGTACAGTATAAATGTTTCTCAAGGACTTTTACACAAAACTCACTAGCCTCATTCAGTCACACTGCCAGAGCTCTCTATACTGAGATTTTTCTTCAGTTCTTTCAAGTCTGGCCTCGTCTGCTGCAGCTGAAGCCCAGCAGTTAATGGAGTGAAATAGATGATGCATGAATTAGTGCTGGTGAATCACCGCGCTATGTGCAAAAGCAGCAATCCTTACACATGCCCTGTGCTATCATGTCCACAGTCAGACAAGAGAAGCAGAGAAATAGCGAGAGCCATTTTACAGATAGAGCTGCAGGAAATGTTTACCTTTCGAGGTTTTAATTTATCCTGCAGGTCATACTGGCCAATGCCCTTATAGCTGATTCCAAGCCACCACGGGATCCCTTGTTTATCCTGTGAAGCAAGAACACAGCTTGATTGTTGACACAGTTTTAGGTGTAGCAGCTGTCATTTCCCATTACTCACAGCAAAAGCCCTACCTTAACTTCATAATAATGCACACCATATGTGGGCAACGATTCCACCAACGTCAAATACCTGGGAAAAAAATAAAAAAATTAGCAACATGTGCATGCGGTTTACCTTGGAAATGTGAAAAGATAGAACTGGAAATTGTCTCTCAGTGTGATTCACTGAACTGCAACTGAAGAGGAGTTATTGATTTCTATCAGATGATGAGAAAAAGAGTGCCAGAGAGAGTCGGCGAGAAGGGAGGGCTAATAGAGGTGAGAGTAAGATTAATGAGCCTAAAGCTATATAACATTCATTGTCTAATTACTAAGAGCGAATTGCAGCAAATACACAGTTTTTTCTGTACTTACTGCACAATGGCCTGTCCTCGGGAGACTCCTTTCAGCTGTTTGTAATATTCAATTACTCGATCCTCACTGCAATGTCACATAAAGAAGACACCTTTTTACTCTTTAAACAGACGTACATTCTCAGATTAAGCCCTTCTGTATAGTATGTGTATGTAGCTCCATAACTGACACAATGTAGTATGGTTATCAGAAATATAACTGAATACAAAATAATTACTAATAATAATAATAATAAACTGTTTAATTTTAGCTTTACATTTTTCCTTGTTTAAAAAAAACATTTTATTATATTTCCTTCACTCCCAATCATTTGCTCAGTTCATAAAATTATATTTAAAGTTATATAATTTATTTTATTAGAAGCTCAAGGTTTCAAATAAGCATTTCCTGTAAGCATACCAGTATGCAAGTGATGGGTGTTCCTTGAGTACTTTGGTGGGAAGAGTTGGAAGTTTCTTCAAGTCAGCTCGAGTGTTTTCATCACTGAAACAATGAAAAAATATTGTGATGACAATCTTGGAATCTGGAGATATGCAATTATTTATTATTGAGCTTTTTTCTTCAAGTGTTTCTGCATCTTGAGCTTGGCCAGAGGGAAAGGTGCAACAACCACCAGGTCCATAGTCTGCTCCATGAATCCAAGTCCTTCCAACATCCTCACATTAAAAAAAGGTCTATAAAATGACTTAACTGCACTCTTGGATTAAGTTCTACCAGTGGTGGAATGTAACCTAGTACTAATTTACTTGAGTATTATAGTACACCTCAGTCAATTTATTTGACAGCTGGAGCTACTTGGAAGAATAAACATTATATATACAAAACATATGATCAGTTTATGAATTGTTAAGAATAACTGTCTGACAGTATATGTAGCTATCAGCTCCACCTCGAACAGCTACAACATTAAAATGCTTCTTACACATTCATGCATTAGTAATGTTAATTCAATAATGAAATATGTAATAGAATACTGAAGCACCCGTTCTGCATGACTACTTTTACTTGTTGATACTGTGAGTACATTTTGCTGATATATAAATAAACTATAAACTGGCATTGCTTTCATTTTCCAACATGAGTATCTAGATGCTGCTTCAAAGCATTTTCCACACAGCCTGGACTAACATTTTGGTGGGAAAGTAGTGAATCCTTTATTTTTTTGCCTTGCAAGTAGTCACATTTAAATATATTGATTGTAAAAAAAATTGAATTAGTCTATAGCAGTTGTAGTTAGAGCACCAACAGCTAGCATAATAAAGAATCTACTCAAATGAAAAGATGTCTGTATTCCTAAACCATCACACTTAATCACCTGGTCAAAGCCAGGTGGCCACCCACACAAAGTCCTGCAGTATCCTACACATATAATATCAAAGAGCAGTTCTGTTTAACACAGATAATAGTTTCTCTCTGCAATGTAAAGGTGTCTCTGCTCTGCAATACTTGGCTTCTATCAGCACTATGAGATTCATTAGTTGCCTGGTGCAAGCTTCTCAGCAGTCTGTGGTAAGCCTCACATAACACTGCTATTGATTTTTGTTGTCTGCACTCTGGAGAAACAAGTGACCTATTGAATGTCTTCGCTAAAAGCTCACTATTAACTTGTCCTGCTGCTGTTAAATACTTCTTACCCAGCTGATAATATGCACTTACCTTGTGTAGTCTCCCTTCGCCTCCTAGTGATAGAGAGTACATCTTATCAGATTACATGCTTTAAAAGGATTTTAAATGCAGCAATTAATGTATGTATATGCAACTATTAAAAGCACTAACCTGCAAAGCATTTGCAGCTAATTTGAAGACGTTCTCACTTTCCACTTCTATAATCTCCTGGGAGACATAAATGATCAACAAGGAAAAAAATCAAGGGGATGCAAACTGCTTTCTAGATCCAAACATAGAATCTTCTCTGTGTTGCCCTACAATAACCTCAACTTATTTTCAAAATGAACCCTTGTGTTTTTTTCTGCTTTCTAAGACTGTCTACTTTACATTCCAGCCAACAGAGTGAGAAAACTGTGCCCTGCAGCCACTGTCTGCTGAGCTGAGGTGCTACAAGGGTCCAGAGACACTGAATCATCAGGGAGCTGCTGGGAGAAAAAACAACTAGCAGAATCATTTTACATTGCTTCAAACCCCAGAAAAACAAGAGAGAAATACTTACATTGTAGACAGCAGATTTTGCATTCAGGAAGAATAACTCCACTGTTATGATGTCCTTAAGCTGTGTTATGTTTTCTACGTAAAACCTATGAAGGATGAAAGCACATGCATACACAACAATTTAATGGTTAAACTGAGATAACTTATCACTATGTTATTGCTGATTATGGAAAATCCTACACTTTATAGTGTTATGTGTATGCTACTATAGGCAGTGCGAGGTTTGGGTGAGAGTGTATGATGATGAGTAAAAGCCTGAAAACAACCAAAAAGATGCGAGTTGGAGACATTGATAAATATTCAAGACAATCCAGATAAGAATGTTTAACACAGAACTACCGAGGACATTTTGTTGACAACTGACAGTTATGCTCCACAAAGTAGTGCCCCCCGCTGGAGAAATGAATTATTACCTGACCAGGAAGTTGAGGGCAATGGGCCCAGACTTCTTTGAAAAGTCATGTTCGAGAACTCTGCGGTCCATCTGCAACCATTTACGCTGACCACTGCAAAAGCAAACACACTGAAGCATCAGAAAGCTGTGTTTTGTACACGTGTGTGCACACATACACACACATATGGACATCTGTAAATATTCAGAACACTGAAGAAAAAATAAACTTCACATTTTACATACTTGTCATCAAAAAATGCCAGTCCAAAGAATTCCTTCTCTTTGAGGTTGAAGTGGGAGGAAACCAAGTCGAGGAGTTCGTACGACAGCAGCTTAGGCTGTGGAAGACGATTCAGATTTAGTTGAAAACACACTGTTATTCTAAATATTAGGTAAGAAAGTGTCACAGATACTCGAGGAAATTATTTTTTCTGTTCTCTCCCAAGAGAAGTAAGACTGAAAGATCAACTAGAGAGCAGTAAGTCGTACTGGATTGAGGATTTAGTGATGTGCTCAAGGTCACTTAAACAGTGCAGATGTTCGGGGACTTAACCCAGATCATGCTTCTGAAGGGAGGTCTTCCAACTCAGTAAGTTAACCTGCAGTGCCGCCCAAGCATATATTTTAGGGAATGTGATGGAGGAAACATACATCCCTTCCAACCTTTTAATACATTTTGCAATATGTTCCCACTAAAATCATGTTACATACATTTTATAATTACATTACTGAAACATGTCTGTGGCATTATTTTTAATAACAGATTTATTTTTGCCACTTGGGGGCTGACATATTTTTTTAAGTTGGAGAACATCTTAGAAAAAATATTTGGTTACACATTGGGCAGATACAGAGAAATGTTACCATTTATTTAAAGTTGTGGATTCTCTCCTTTTAGCTATGGAAAACTGAAACAATGAGCCGAAAGACACTCATTAAAGCTGAGGGGAACTGCAAAGTGAGGTAATAATTCTTTGTGGGTTCATCATTACCAGCAACCCCTTTCACATTAGTCATGTGTCTCATGTCATTAGTCACATAGTCATTTGTTCCACTGTAATTATAGAAAAATATTACTTTCACTATCACTTTAAGCTGGGAGCACTCATACCTGAACCAGCAGCTCCAGCTTCCTGTCATCCAGCAGCTGCACTTGGCAAAGTCTGCCCTCAGTCATCTGCAGGGAAAAGAAAAGAGGAAGATCAAGGCTTGTGTCACATTGTAAGATATTCCTCATCACAAGGCACAATGACATCAGGTCTCGTGTTTTGGTAATGGCCTGATACGTCTTGTAACACTAAAATATCTAGGAATTGCAAATTAAAGAGGGTGGGGATAAGTTACTCTGAGTAACCAAGCTGAGAAAAGGCCTTGTGTTAAATACAGGAAGAAGAAAAAAACACTGACGTTATTAATGACAGTAAAACCATTGTTTTAAGGATTTGTTGCCACAGCAACCAAAGGAAGGATTTTAAGCTCGTTTTGAACCTTTCCCGCTTAACTTTTACTCTTTTAGCGTCTCAGCCTTTCTAGCATTTGAGTAAAGAAATATCCTGTGGTGGGACTCAAAGACTTCATTTTATTCTACTGTATATTTCTATTCCACAACATTCATTCAAAAACTACAGTTAGTTTTGGCAGATTATGATTTTACTCACAATTTACATGATCATTATATATATTATGATCAACAGATTGGGTTCAGACTTGAATGCAACCATCATAGTAATTAAGTTATATAATATGAGGTAACATAGCATTACATTTTCAATGTCCTGTATAATGAGTATAAGAAAAATTGCCAATAATAGTAATATTTTGAAAAAAGGACTACTTGTAATGGAGTATTTTACTTGAATACTTCTTCCACCACTACTAATAGCTTCATTGTTGCAAACCTTTCACCTTGTTCAAGAAAAGATTAATGCATCAAGTGCCAACCAGCACGCGACTGTTTATAGCAGCAAACCACAACCTCATATCAGATTCTGTTTTAACTCTGCATCCATTAAATTCAGCACTCTGGTACTTGTACCCACACGATAAACAGGAAATCATGTTTGCTCGTGCAAGATCATTTTGACCACAATGCCCTTCAAAGAAAGCTGCTCTTCACAGAATCAAGTTGACCTACTAAGAGATACTGAAAGCTTTGCACGTTGGATAAATCAGATAGCCAGTAAAAATGACAGATTGAGGTTGACCAGTTTCACAAGAAAACCTGCTCACAAACTGGGAAAAAAACACATCAGACAGATTCAACTGCCTCCTCATCTGACAGAATGAGGCTGATCACAACTTCACACACTTGGAGTGAACCGAGCAGCTGCTGTACCTGGTAAACCTCTCCGGGGAGAGTGCAGGTGTGGATGCATCCCTGACCAGATCTCATCCTTCAATACGAGTCTCCTCTTGGATCCAGACCATGAAATTGTTAGCTCTGACGGAGTAGCAACAGACGACCGGAATTAACCAGCAGCTTGTTTCATACAGGTTACTGACTGAGCAGCCAGGCCTTCTTAGCTGTGTGCAGCGACGGCTTATACAGTGTAGCCAGTTTATGAGAAATCAACAGCTGACTGAATGAGGGCAGGCTGGGTCAGACTCCTGACCACACTTTAGGGTTTACTACCTCTTAATATGAACAATTGGGGTCAGACAACAAAACACAAGTGGTCAATAAAACATGGTTAAGCATGTCTGTCCTGTCTGCTAATACAGTTGAATTTACTGAGACATTTTAGACGGTTAGTGTGCTCTTCTGTGGCTGAATGCATATCAGAATCTTGATATCAGGTTTCTCTTACTTCCTTTTCCTGTGCATTTTAACTAAGTGATGTTATTTGATAATGGAAGCTTGAGCGATTCCCACAAAGGTGACTGTGGCTTTACTTTACACACACTCTACTTTTCATCTCATCGTTTCTCACATTGCACTAATAAATGATTAAACAAATTGCCCTGTTTCCTGAATGGGCGGGACATACCCTGTCACTCCTTTAAATTACACCATCTGTATTGTTTTAACGAGCACTTTGTCAATTACAACCTCTGAATAATGTGTCTTTCCTATCACCACAGCCATAAATTCTCTTTCATGATCTAAATTAAAAGTGCACATTCAATAAATCCAAGTAATTCGGTGTGTGGCTTCTAATGACATTCACCAGGAGTATTATTACATTGATTTGAGCTTGATTTAGTTATGACTGCATCATGGTGGGGTCACACAATTTGTCTGTGTAATAAGCATGACAGTACTCCAAGCTGGAATGTAAAGTAATGGAACCGGCCACTAGATGGTGCAGGGATTCATATTTTTTCTATGTAGAGAAGAAGTTCATAGAGAAAATGGCCTCTTAAACAAGCATCTACCACTGAGGAATTTTCATAAGTAGTTATTAGCTCAGCAGAGGAGAGTCAAATTCAGCTGGGATGGCTCGTGCTTATGCAATATAGATGGAGTAAGTGGGAGGAGGAGCCATGATTTTTAGGAATCTACACCATTAATCATCGGAGAGCTATAATCACTACAAGAACTGCTATTTATATCTGAGAGAGCAACCCAGCAACCCTGACTAACCCGGCAGTTTCTCTGTCACAACACAGAAGACACTCTTTTTCAAAAACACATTAATAGAGATACATAATAATTACCAATCCACACTAACAACTAGGGCTGCAACTTATGATTAGGTTTTAAAATATAGTCAAAAATGCTCATGACAACATGGTTGGAACCCAACTTGACCAAATAGCTTGTTTTGTCAGTCCAAATGTCAAAACCCAAAGATATATAGTTTACGCTCACATAAGACAAAGAAAATATGTCAAACCTCACGTTGGAGAAGCTAGAATTAGCAATTATTTGGTGTGTTTGCTTTTTTGCAATGAATGGATTTTTTTGTTGATTAATAATTGGCAAAACATTGCAGCTTTACAAAAAACTGCAAATAATTTAAATCTTCATTTGTCATCTCATGATTTACTTTTGACTCTTAATCACACCGCAGTAGACAGCACTGCTAAATCAACCAAACACAAACTATTCATCCTCAGTAAATGGCCAGCCTTGGATCCTGTGGGGTTAAGACAAGCACTGAACCTTTATGTAAAAAAGACACGGAGGGAAAAGATGAAAGAACTGTCCGTCTTTGTGTTTGTCTCTCCAGAGACTGGACAGGCGCTGGTTGAGTATTGCGCCGCAGGGTGCAGGTTTGGCTCTATAGTCTGGAGCCTGAGGTTGGCATATAGACAGCTTGTTATAGTGTGCTACAGTGAAATATCCCTTTGGAGATTTGGAGACGGTACTCATGTGGCCTCCTTCACAAAGAAACAAAGAATGTTGATTTCAATAAGAGTGGTAAGATGTAAACCTTTTCACATTGAGCAGATGTTGTAAACCAAAAATTAACACTTTTATAATTTTAACAGAGAAGAATAACGCCAAGCTTCAAAGTTATACAAGACGCTACTGTAACAGGAGAAAATTTCTCTGTCTCCTGAGTAAACTAGCTGTCAGTGTTTAATACGTTACGGTTAAATGTCATGTCCAGACTGCAGCCCGTCTTATCTCAGTTTCCCGTTTTCATGCATTATTTATGAAGGCTGGTATCACACGCAAGTCAGTGTCTGCTCTCTGTGCTTACATGTTCTTTTACAGACACCCACTGCGATCAGCCAAAGCCTGAAATTATCATAGTTTGCACATTCCCACGCTATTTTAGTTTATGTGTGAGAAAACCTGTGCAAATTAATATGACAACATTTTAAACTCAACAGTGAAGTGTGTACTGACTGGATTCGCACCAGAAGACAAAAAAAATCCAAATAAAATGTTCCTGTAAGTTCAAGTGACTACAAATAGACTCCCTAACAGGATGTGACATCTAATACACTGCTTGTAAAGGGAAACACGCTAAGTTCTGTGTTTTGAGTACATGAGATTTCACAGTTCCTCTGTCATGTTATGACAATATACAGTGTGAGAAAATGGGTTTCTGTAGCTGTGGCTGACCCCCATTGCATGATTAATGACTTCACTCCATGGATTCAAATATGGTATTTTATAGTGTGAAATAACTGACTCATCATTTGATTTTTGGTGTTAAATTATGACAAGAAAGTCTTAGCTCTCCTAAATAAACCCCACTGATAGGATGCCTAATTAGTAGACCTATGTGTGTTGGCAAAACTACACCACAGCAACCAGCCCTGGTTACAGAGGCTGTGGGCTGAAGGATACAGCACAGGATTATCTCAAACCTCATCAGATATCTCATCATGACTCATGTTGTCAGCGGTCAAAAGGTATCTGTCTAGTATCATCTCCCAAAGAGAACCAGTCTGGCTGTTTGTGATATCCGGGAAACTTCGTGAACACAATGAGACTCAGGATATTAAGGAAAAATTAGAACCTAGAAGAAATATTAATTTTGTTTTTTTTTATAAGGCAGTACTTCAAGGGCAGGCTGCATCACAGAGGAGTAATTCATGTGAATGATGTCATCATGCAGTACAAGTTCCTATTCCCAACACGAAAAGGACATCTACAGAGGCAGCAGGACATTGTGATATATTTTCTCATGACTGTCCTACAACTGAAAGTAGCATCAGGGACAATACTTTTATTAACAGCCATAGGGACAGTAGTGGTAAAAATCAGTCTCTGTAGGATTGTAATGCTAGCAGTACAAAAGCAAAATAAGTACACATATCCAAGTGAGCCATAGTGACATCTGTTATTACTTAAAGGACCAGTGTGTAGGATTTAGTGGCATCTAGCGGCGTAGTTTCATATCGCAACTCCCTCGCTTCATCCACCCCTTCCAAGCACAAAGGAGAAACTACAGTGGCCGCAGGAAAATGCAATGTCTCCATCACCATGTGTTTTCTCCAGAGCTGTGTAGTGAACTCACAGAGTTTCAGTTGCTGTCGTCAGAGCTGACCTTGAGTGATTGTGGCTGTGTTAAAATGAAGAAAAGCTACATGTTCAAATAAAGAGACAGTGTTTGCATATTCCTATGATATGATCAAAAATATTCACTTAAACACTGCTTAGTGTCTGTGTCTTCCAGCCTACCTGTAATAGTATTTGCAGAGAAATTCAAAATGTTCATTTGACCCAGATAAAATTCTATTTTTAAGTCTAAAAAACAACTACTCTTGTTAGCAGGTGCAATTTTTAAGAAGCTCACCACCTTGGTTTAACATGTTAGCATGCCAACATTTGCTGCTAACGTGTTTGCACTGAACAAAAGTCCAGCTGAGGCTGATGGGAATGTTGTTTTGGACAAATAGACATTTTGATCAGATGATAGAGATAAAGCCTAAGTTAGTACTGTTCATCCGGGACCATGAATGCGATCCACCCAACAGTCTAATAGTGAAGGAAGCTAAATATTTAAACAACATTGAGGCCCCTAGTGTTCATTTAGACCCGACAATGCTAAAGTGCCAAATACAATACTGATGACTTTGCAACTGCTAGACTCTTACTAGTAGTGGGGCTTCGACTGTAAAGTTTGTCCTGATATTGGCCCTGGAAGAGAGGCATTACTTTGCATGACATTTATATTTTGGCAGATCTGTTTGTCCAAAGCCACTTACATTAAATGCATTCAAACTCTACAAGAACAAGAGCTAGATATCATCAGAGGAGGGAATGGCAGTTACTAGAAGCAAATGTTTTTTTATCCATCAGTTATTCTGTGCAAAGCCTACACTTGGGTCTGACAGAGGTGCTGAAACACTCATTAAGTTTCTAAAATCAGTTTAATGGGTTCTTCATCTGGAGAACAAGACTGAACTCTTTCAATACATTTCACACTCTTTGTAGTTTGATATTTTGTGTGTAAGTAAATAAATATAACGTAATTAAGTATACATTTTGACATCAGCATGGTACAAATAAGTGTGAATCATGACTGAATACTTACACTGCATTTCAAGGCAGTCTACACAGTCTTTATCCAAAATGATCTAACATTTAGAAGTTTGTGTTTCTATATGTATTCCTGGATCTAAGATACATTTGTTGTTTTTGGATAAGTCCATAAAGAGGAAAATAAATTTAAAAGACTCTTTTATTGGTGGACTGAGTTCTTGCAGATCAAGATAGTCAAGTTACTGAATTAAAAACCTCTAAAGAACACACCAGGACTTATTCAAAATAACTACTACTAATCTGCCAGCACTGAGCTCTTGCAATTATTGAGAGCTTTGCCACCAGTTGCCCTCATTTCTGTGGGTTACACAGCTGTCCCCACTGGCATTCCTGATATCACAAACTGCAGAGTTTCATTACAGAAAACTGCAGTGACTTTCTGCAGAGCTCAGGGACGAAGCACTGAGGCACGAACGTGAATGGGTGGAGAAAATGGAACATGACCAAATTACATGATCTGGACCGAGTACCAGAGTGTCTGCAGCCCAGTGAAAATAATCATATCAGAGCAATATACATGAGTGTAATCACATTATATTTATTGTCTTTACCTGAACTGACAGCATGTGCCAAGGATCAGCTGATAAGTTGAAAGTGGATTTGGTTATCAATCAGTTTTGATTTTTAGGACTGCAAGTGAGAAAGACTAAGTCCTCATCTGCCAACCTGTTTCGCTTCAGTGATGCTTCTCAGCTTTCACCTTATTATAAATATATATCAGATTTATTCCCTCTGTGGTAAGTGTATGAATACAAGATTACTTGCCTGTCCAAAAATAGATCTCTCCCTCTGTCTTTAGTACATTTTCTTTCTCGGGAGGCTTTGATTCCTAAATGGAAGTTTGCCAGCTGAGTGCTGAGACATTTCTCAGCAGCATCAAACAGAGAGAAGAGCATCTCAAACTGACAATCAAGTGATCATGGTAACATATATTCAAATGTGTACTGAGTTTTAACTGAGCCTGTTTGATGTATAGAAGGAGTTTACTGACTTTAGTGACCTAATGCCTTTTAAAAGAGTCAGAAATGCCCTCACAAACTTGACTGGTGTGATAAATGGCACAGGACATCCTCTCCAACAAAAAGGAAGAGCGACAAAGTTTCACGCTGGACACGTGTGTTATACAGACGCAACCATCACGACAACAATTCCTGTTTACATGCTTTAAATACACTCAGACGTGCGTCTCTTCCTTCAACTGTAAGATAACATCAGCAGGTCACTGTCAACCATTGCAGGGTTCATCCTTGTTTTTTACCAGTGTGGTAAAAATAGACATCCAGAACTTGAAAGACCAATAAATTTAAATGAAGAAATAAATCACCAGGTAACAAGGAAGATACCTTGGCCTACCTGCACCAAAACTATAACAACTAAGCTACTACTGTCCTCTAAAAATACTATATAAGGCTCAGTCTGGGCCACCAATTATCACCATAGCCAAAAACACACACACACTTCAAAATAGAAAATTCTTTCTATTAAATTATGCACAAAAAATACATAAAACTGCTTAGACATGATTCACAGTGCTGCAAATGGGTAAAATGATGATTCATCCAGCGTTTTTTAACATTCACGAAGTCACACTATACCTGAATCAATTATACAGCCTGTTTCTTCATAATCGATTCAACCAGTCCAGTCAAATAGCTTATAAACTACTTTTTTGACTTAAGCACACATCTAATAGTGCCACCTCATATCCACTACTATCACAGTATTGTCTCCTATAATGAGACTAGCCCTTCTCAGGGCCAGTTTCCACTGTGCAGGGAGAACAATGAATGTGCCACTGTGGGCTACTGTACTGTACATGGGTGGTTTCCACCTGAACCCCCATGACTAGACAGATGTGTCAAATAAAACCACACTCCTCCTTGTTTTACTGAGGAAACACGGCAGCCGCTGCGGAGAGCCAAACCCATGCTGTTGTAATTTTCATTGATGCTCTCTCCCCGGATCACATGCGTCCATGACTCGGTCTACTTTTGTCTCCTCACATAGCTCACTGAGGCAGGGTTGAGTCTGCTCCATCACATCATATATCACAGCCTTACCTTTGCACTCCTTATATCCCGTTTAGCTATCGATGAGGAAAAGCCTCTTCTGCATATTAACCATCCCCCAGTTCAGCTTTCTCCCCGGCTGCTTTTGCCAGGGAGGGGAGCCACCGTGCAGCCGCTGTCCGTGTTCATCCTCCGGTACTACTGTAGCGCACACACTCGCCTCGTATTGAGCCACACTCACCACGCCTTCACCCGCCGGCTATTATGTGAACATCTCCTCCCTTCCTCCCTCGCTCCCTCCCTCCTTCCCTCTCATCATCCAGCAGCTGCCGGCCGGCCTGGTTCACACTGAATCCCCATAATAATGAAGTGTTATAGCCGGGAGGCTGTGTGCTTCATCCCTCGCTTTCCTTTAAAATGCCTGTGAGGTTATGTTTAGTTTGATTATTTTATTTTTAAAATATTTGTCTTCTGACAGCCCTTAAAGCAAAATATTTGCTCCCTGTTTATCCTGATCAACAGTGACCTCATCACACTAGGCGTTTTTTTATTCTCTCCATTATCTCCAATATCTTACAATATTCATTTATGGGCCCATTATGTCTGTTATACTCCACATTTCATTTATGGAAGCCTTATTCTATCATATAACATCCGTTTATCGTTTATTTGGATTTCCATTAGTGGTTACCATGACAACAACTACCCTTCCTGGGGTCCATGTAAAAAATATACTGTGTAATTAACAGACATTTTACAATATCACAATTACACTACACCAGAATTACAATAAAACTTAACATTATGACAGACAAATACAAAACCTGACAATAAAAGAAAATATAATCAATGAGGTTATTTACATTCAGTGTAGCAATACTTATACATACAGGTACCCAACCTGTACTGTAAGTACAAGGAAAGAAGACAAAAGGTTAGGTAATAAGGGGTTAAAAATAAATTACACCACGCTTCATAAATTACTAAGTGACTATTTATTAATTAGAGGGTATGTTTCTGTTGGGTGACAGTAATGACTGGGAAATTGCATGTAAAGTTGTAGTTTTATAGGTTATGTTTATGTTTGTAAAAAGATTATTCAATACTGGACTGTAAAATAAAGTGGTCCTTTGACCAGCCCCTGTTAATCCGTTGTTCCCTGTACTTTTCCACGGGAAGTATTTCCTCGGTACTGTGTTCAAAAAATGTAACTTGCAGGCTGTAATTATAACTCTCAATTAATTTGCACATCAAAAGAAAGTTAAATAATATTTGATGAGGTAGCATAGCATGATTTCTCCTCACCTGCCTTGTTAAATAACTGTGGGAACTTCGATAAAATAACAAACCTTATGTTTTGCTGTATCCCTGTAGTATTTTAACACCTTTCTCGTAAATATTGTGATGTTGCTGCCTTTTAGCTCGGTAAGTATGACTTTAACGTGGGTTCCTGACAATCCAGTTAACAGGTTTTTTTTGTATGCTTTAGCCTGCTTGGATGCACTGTATTTGCACAAAGGATTCTTTTCCCTAAGTACATTGACGTGTGGCAATAAACAGGATCTGAGGGATGAAAAACGTGAGCTGCTGAGGGGGATGTCTTCAGTATGTGAGACAACAGACAAAACACAGGAAATGGTAACTGTCAACAGTTCAGACATCTTCGGTGTTATCACAGTTTGTATGACCATCAAGAGCAGCTGCAAGAAATGACAACTCATTGCTGAACACAGACACTGACAAATTAAGTTATTATTACTATGTATGTCATGTCTTGGAGATTGGTTTTCAGAATATTTAATGCCTGAACACCAACCCAAAGAACTTTGCAGCTTAACCCTTCAGTTGACCTACATTGAAATGTGGGTCAAAGTCAACATTCAGCACTAAACAAGAGAAAGTTTACATGTTGCTCAAAAGCACAACCAGATTCAGTCGCCTGTTTTCAGACGTCCCTGTTGGCCTTGTGTTGTGCAGAATATATACGCTGAGCAAACTCAAAGACCAGTTTGGTGGCTGTTATTAAGCTACCAAGCCAACTAACAAGTTTATGTCACTTTACACACCAGTTAACAGCTTTGAAATGTGCAATTAAAAAGACACGATACTGCTGAACCAGTTTATTGGTGTGTGTTTCACATGTGATATTAATTTCTGCTGAGGAGTGACGATACCCATGAAATATTCATTCATGTCTTTACTCTTACTCAGTTGGTAGTTTTCCAAAGAAACAGGCACAATGTCCTTTTTAAAAGCTCCAACAACATTTAATTCTGTTTGAGACATTGAGATAGTATATCATGGAAACATTGACAATTACAATAAGAACAGCTGATAAATTGAGGAAGTGTATTGTTACTGCTGTATGTTCTCACAGTCTACAGTAAATGCTGTCGCCTGTCAGCAGAACGAGGCTTCCCCACCCCCTTGCACTTGGATGTCTGACATCAGACATGAATAAGTATCTCATTAAGATCCCCCAAAACCATCTGTCCAGTCAGTCTCCTCCTTACAGGAAGATGCTTTCATAAACAAAAGAGTAGGATTCCCCCATTACCCTCGTTACCCTCATTAGGAATTTAATTCTATAATCAATGGCAAGCTGTACTTTTAATACATTGAGGGAACTGGGGTACGTCTAAGACAGTGTTATTTTTGGTAATAACTGGCCTGAAAAACTCTTACCAGAACAGTGTAAACATTTCTTATGATGCAAGTCAGCAAGGACACTGTTGGTTGCTGTTCATTTGTGTGGCATTTTAATTTGAATCTGCAGTGCATCGTGGCAAACATGTTCCTGAAATTTTGCAAGTTTGTACGCAACCAACAGATCCACAGTTGTTACAGAAGAAAATGGATACACAGAATGTACTCTCCAAATCCTCATCAGTATTTTTGCGCAATAAAAAATACAATATCGACTTCATAACTACTGCATGTAAGATGTGTATATATGCATAATTTATTGTCTGTGCAATTAATTTTCTGCCTCCATTTAAGCAATGTTGCTTGGCAGATGATGTATGCAAATCCACCCACACCACCAGTAACAACAACAGAAGCTGAAAGAGTTGAGCAACAACATGAACCAAATATCTGTGGTCCCATACAGAAAGAGTGCTGCAAATGTTGTGTTCATAGATTCTTATAACATTTTCAACAGTATATGGAAGAAATTATCTCATGTATGCGATCAGAAAGTTTTGGAAACATGGGCAAGTGTCCTAACACAGTGTGACAAAAAAATCCCCATGGTACATTTTGAAATAGCAACAAAGAGAGGACTGTTCATTGGGCAACGATAGCCACCTGAATTGTAGCATTTAAGCATATTCTCGTTTTAACATTCTCTAACAATCTATTTTATCTTACAGGGATATAATTAAATGTGCATTATAAATCAGGAGATATTAAACTCACAGACCATATGGTATCACACTATCCTCAAGAAAAACACACTTGAAACACTGCAGTATTAAATCCAAATAGCATGGCCCAGTTAATTTTCTATTATGGTAATGAGTTTGCTGGCCACTGGGTCTGCTTCTTGACTGTTTTTCAGTTTTCTTCTCAAGACAAACGGATCAGTGGATATGGATAATGTATGTCATGGAACAACCGGACACCTTTGGCTCATATTTCAGGATCTTGTTTTGACTCCAGCGTACAGGAAGTGCTCCGTGGCAAACGGCTGCAAGTCACTGATGATTGGCTGACGGCTGTCTGCCATAAAAGAGTTGTGGGTGAAAACAAAAAAGGTAAAGAGGACTGTCTCCACACCTGAGCAGCTTCTTCTTCTTCTTCTTCAGAACGTTTCTATTGTTGGCCTACAGTTCAGTTGATGCTCTGTGTTATTAGCCAGCAATATTTAAACAGGCTCTAACTGCTTATTAAATAAACACTGTGTAAACAATAAAATATATTAGCCTTTGTAATAAAGACCATGTGTGTTATCTCATGGCACACGGCCAGTATGTCGTTGGACATATGCTTTCAGTCTGCACCACTACACTGTGTGCGCTACAGCCTTCATGCACATGTTGTAATGACGGGGG